ATAAGATCGCCAAAAGGTTTCTATAATGACTTTGATACTTATGTTATTTTTCTGCACCAGATGTTTTGAGGATGGAACACTATATCATAATCATGGATTGTGCATTTGAAGGAGAATCCAACCCTTTTTAAGAATTCACACTTCTTATTCCTGTGCCCCAGAACATATTGGTGTATATTTGTGAACATGCAGCACTCTCTTCTAAAGTTAGAAACCAAAGTGAGAAACTTAAAATGTGCAATGTCATCCCAGTTTACTCTTTTACAATAAATGGGGCTCTGATGCTGCAGGGCCATAAAATGTTTGTGTAATTTTTCATGCCAAAATGACCTTATGTCCAGTTTAAAATCTGGATGAGACCTGTTAGGTGGTACACTACACAGCTACTCTAGATTATGGGGTTAGTGTGGTAACACATTTCTTACAGTGGCTCAAAGTAATTTCAGTGATATAACTTCAGTAGCCTGACTGATGAAATATGACATTTGCAGGTCTATACTTCCAGAGTATGGTTTTCTACTGTTTTAGTTCATCGTTTGCACTCAATAGCTCTTAATGTGGGGGTTCAATTAAAAAGTGCATTCAAAATTTTCATTTGTCACATTTAATCGATATTTTAATGGAATACACTACTGTTGACACAGAACAAAGTCAGTGCCTGTGGTGTTGTCTACGGAGATTGTGAGGATTCTCTGTGATTAGCTTAGGATGGATAATATAGAGTTAATTGTCCTTGGGCACAGGAATAACATATGTGACATTAAGCCTTTTATCAGTCAAAATTGCTTGATGAATGAAATGAATGAACTATGTATGTTTATGAATGTTGTGATTATTATTTATTAGTATCTTGAACTCAACAGCTGCTGTTGAACTTTTACCTTCATTTCCTGCTGCAGTTCATGGATTTTAGCTGAAGGTTCCTTTATGGATTTTGGGTGACTTGCAGCTGGACTTCATGTTGGCTGTTTCACTTTCACCTTTCCTGTGTGTCCATGAGTCAAAGCGGCAAAACTAGTCACAACATCAGATTTCTCGGCACAGGCTAGTCGTATGAATAACACTATAAAAAAAAAAGAAAAAAAGATGTAGGCCTATTATAATCATATTAGGTTGAAAAAATACATCAATGGTGGGGAACAAAAAAACACCTGTCACAGATGGTTGAGCAGGAAGGGGAGGGGAAGAAAGCGAGCTGAGGGGAGCTCTGCACTCTTTCAACACTGCCCTCATGCAGTGGATGGGCAGTTTTGGCGCCATTTCTGATTTAAATATGGATGACAAAAAACACAATGGCGTCGGTGAACCATGCCTGGCACTATGTACAGTCTGTAAGTAAAATACTCGGATCTCCAGGAACCCTCATCCTCTTACCTCATGTTTGCATGAAGAAATCAACTACCTGGTACCGCAGGTAAGTCGGACAGCGTCAGAGTTTTAGAGTTTACTCCGTCAGAGATCCGATTTGATTGGGAAAATGACTCACTTGTATGGTAAAAACATAAAGTAAAACAATGAATTGAATAGAACTGAAACTTTGATTGTTTGGGAAGAGTGTTACACAACACAAATTTGAGACGCTGAATAAATTGAACTGAGTTTTTGTTGTTGCTGAATCACTGAAGTGATATTTTTGTTGAATGATATCAGTGGTGAGGTAACTATGTGGCCCTGAGAGCTAAAGGCACTGCAACTTAAGAAAACACACGCAAAGACATCTTCATCAATTTGACAATAATAAATAAATGTCCTGTAAATTCAGTCCTAAAACAGGGCAGTTTGGTCTCATCCTTTCTTCTTTTACTGCAATGACAATGGAGGCAAGGATGGGAGAACCAGTTAATGTAGTTTATTGCTCTTTCGTGATAAAAGTCTGATTCAACATAAAACACATTAGGAGCTTCATTTAGCGTGAACCTGTTAATTCTGCTTTTATGATAAGGATATAAAAAGGTTAAATCAGATTGGACTATAGGATGTAATAAGAGCAGTTATTGCATATTATTTTAGTTTTAATATTTACCTCAATCCACAGGTTGCTTGTTTCATATTTCATTTAAGAGATATCAGTATAAACCTGAGGGAATATGAGAGATCGATATGAGGTTAAATAACTTGCACTTTTGTATTATAACTCGTTTAATTGCAGTGTTGGCTTTTCTCTGGTGTCAGTTTGTGGGATTTTCTCACTTTGAAATTTTCTTTTTGTTTTGCTCACCCACAATAATTATAAAACGTTGAACTAACCACATCTTCTGTCTTTATTCCAAGCAACTGTTGCTTATGCTGTTGCAAGTGTGCATAAATCAGCACATCCTGAGCAGAGGCTTGATCACCTTGAAACTTTGTGTGAAAAAAAAAGCAATCAGAAAATGCAAAAGCTTTTATGTGCTGGATTGTGGGGATCACTATTAAATACAGTTAGTGAGTGATAGAGTAAAGAAAAATGTTTTTAAACGGCATGATTCAACGTCTATCCATTTAATAGGTTTGTACTGCGTTTCCAGAGTGGTACAATTGACTCAGTCTTATATGGGCTTCTCCCGTCAACGTATAAAAGTGGTGATTCTCTCTCTTGGCTCTCAGTCTCTGTGGTTACTCACAAGGGAAATGCACAGTAGCACCCATCAGTATCATATATGTAAACTATTTTCACAAATCAAAACTGAATGTCTTGTAGGCACACATACTGTATACTAAGTTATTTGGGCTTATTTAAATTTGTCAGAACCTGAACAAAAACTATACACCATTTTCAGGATTTTTGTATCTAGATTTTACTCACAGAGAACAAACATAAGCATTACCTCAGCCTGGGTGTGGGATTCTCTGGGTTTTGGTAATGAGTGTATGATTGTGTGAAAGCATATACAGCAGGAAGTGGGTTAAAGCCCCTACACACCATTAGTGCACTTAAGGGGTGCGATACGATATATTGATTGTCGATAACCGTGATATTTAAAAAATGAAATATTACTATTGTGTTGATAATACAGATGGAAGATGTTAGGCCTTGTGGATCTTTTGTTTATCACTTCATGTGGTTGCCTTTTCACTATCAAGTTGGATTGTTCTATTTCCACCTCCCTATACAACATCTTAATAATATCATTATCATGAATTATTTTGGCCACAATAATTGTTTAGTGAAAATCTAATATTGTGACAGCCCCAGTCCACAATAGACGTGTTTGCACTTACGTTGCCGGATTAGAGCTTTTCTAGAGATTGTGTGAGCGCGTACATCTTCTTCACTTAGGGTTTATACTTTTATTGTGTGTGTGTGTGTGTGTGTGTTCGGTGTAAGGAGTATATGTAATGTATATGGTGCTTTTCTTCAGCATGACTGCACCATATGCTGAACTATAAACACAATGAATGATTACTAATGACTAATTTTACTTTGCTGTGATACATGTACTTATCAAAGACCAAAGGAAGGAAACTTACTTTGTGTGACACTACAGTTCCACGTCCCTGACATGCTATGAAAGTTGTCTTGTTTGTTTACTCTAGAAGCTTTGTTGCTGGAGCAAAATCCCTTCAGAGAGGGTTCCTACATAAGTGGGGGTTTATGTGAAAACAAACTCTCATACTGTTAGAAACCAGAGAAATAATAGTGCAATTAAAACTGTCTGATGTCAGACAGAGACAAAAAATGGGTCTCTGTACCATTAAACATCGTGGCACATATATAAATTTACTTTGAGATTTACTCACCAAATTGACTACATTTCAGCATGATGACAGCTAGGTCTGCAAATGCTGTAAATGACTTTTCACTTCTTCAGCCTGCTAAATTGACTTATGATGATGTTGTATCAAGTTTACAAGCAGCTGTTTGAATATGAACTACTAAAGAATTTTGTGATGCTCTAATTAAAATATTTTTCATAATTTCATTGAATGGCAGCCAGCGAAAACTTGAGCAGAGGTGTCTTTTCAGCATCCGTTTTCAAGAAGCAAGCTTTCAGCATTTGTGTGGTTGTATCTTGCAGAATGATCAAGAATATGTGGTTGTTTCCTTCTGCTCTTTCACTCCTCATGCAAAGGTACCATTTCTTGTTCTTACTGGCAAAACAGCATAGAGCTGCATAGTTTCCGACACTCAACCACAGAGATCTTACCTATTTTCCTATAAGTCCTGAAGAAAAAAAGCCCAGATAAAGGTTAATAAACATACCAAAATAGCTCTAAAGATGTATTTCTTTATAGATAATAACATTCTGTTTCCTTAAAAACTTTCATAATGGAGTAAGCCACTTCACAGATGGAAAATGATTATCACTTTTGTCAGTTTTGATGTTACTATAACAAATAAAGTGCAATTGAAGTGATTATTTCAGATTAATCAAAATAACTCACACATTTAATGATTGGTTCAGTTCCATAATCAAAATATAAAATTTGAAGCTGGAAATCTCAGGGCTGTTTGAACAATTACTGACTAATTGTTTAGTTGAGTATAAAAGGTGCCTGTGAGAAAGTACATTTGTTCATGGTGGCAGGAAAGTAGAAACCATTATAATTCAGTGTCTTAGAAAAACCACAGTCCACTCTGATGTGACACAAATAAGATAAAAAAATTTAGAAAAATGCTCAACTCAACTCCATCTCTATCTCCATGACAATTGCACAAATGCCATGTGCAGCCAGGCGGACTGAGAGATTAGACTGAAAGTCTAAGTTTAAAGAAGTCAGTTACATTTCTATATTGCCCTCGATATTTCACAATTATATAGGTTTCCCAGTTCATCTCGTATAAATTCCTGATTTTGCATTAGAAAAATAAAATATCATGAATGATTATGCAAGGACTGGAGACTGAAGGGTTTATAAATCTGATTACAAGTTTCCAGTTGAAAAAGAGAAAGATTTAAATAAGTGGCTTTGTGAACTGTAAATATGATTCAGTCTGATGTGGGTTTCCCACGTCAGCATATAAAAGCGGTGATTCTCTTTCTTGGCTCTCAGTCTCTGTTGTGTCTCACAAAGGAAACGCACGGTAGCACCCATCAGCACCGAAGTATCAAACATGGTTCTGCTCAAATTTCTCATATTAACTTTAACTTTTTATGAACTCTTTGTTAATTTGGAAGCTGGAACTTGCCCAAAAGGTAAAGTATGAATTTCTTGTACTACACTGTAGTTTGCTTCCTCAATCTGTAAAATGCCATAGAATATTCTACTGTTTTTAGCTTTGCTTAAGTGTGTTACTGTGATTAAAGTATTTTTTTTCTTTTCATACTGTGAAATAAATCAAGGTCACAGTCTGAGTCGCAAGGCAGATTGTAAAATCTGTCCTGATGGATATTACCAGCCTGAAGAAAATGACTCCTTATCATGTAGACCATGTACAATGTGTGAAGAACGTAAGTGTTGAAGCAACAGAATCACTAATGAATCAGTTCATAGAGCCAAAACTTTGCATCAAATTTCAACTTCAGTTCTCACATGAAGAGGCTGGTTTTTGATGCTCAACCTGCATTTAATAAATCGTTTTTTTTTTTTTTTTTTGTAGATCGGGGGAGTGCTATTGAACAGAAGTGCACGAAAGAGACAGACACAAAATGTCAGTGCCGTGAAGGCTTTGTTCCCTGGGGGAGCGATTCTTCCACCTGCAAATGTGATATTGGATTTGGACTAACAAATGGAAGTAGGTAGAGGGATCGCACAATATTGTATGCAGTAGGTCAGACATTGCCTTTTTAATGATTAATTCTTTTTACCTTTTCAGAATGTTCAAAATGTGAAGTAGGATTTTTCAGCAAAAGTATCAACTCACCCTGTCAAAAATGGAAAGAGTATGTCCTCTGTATATTAGTGTTCTTAAAACGCTGCACATATATTAAATATAATCTCAACAATGTCTGAAACAGTCACTGTTGTTACAGCTTTATCTTTTATCCTTCATCATAGATGCAAATCAGGGGAGAAAATTCCTGGAACCAGCAGCTCTGACGTCATCTGTATTGAGTTGAAGAGTAACCCTGATATCACTACACCCGACATCACATTCTTACCATCCCACAGTCCACATGAGGAGACCCAAGCTCAGAATTTACATACAACCACTACTACCACCACTAGCACCACCACCACCACAGCTCTTCCAGGACACACACTCAGCACAAAGAAAAACAGAGATATGCAGCCCCCCCCTTCAAACACAGGCAGCCACATTGGTAAAACTTATGTTGCTATCTTTTCATGACAAAACTTCAGATTAAAAAATAATATACAATAATTTGCAGCTTGTTTGTCTTGTTCAGGCCTGGCTGTCCTCATGTTTGGAATTGTTGGACTGCTTGTTCTGACCGCTGTGACCTGCAAGCTGCACATCACTCCCTGTGTGCAGAGAAAACCAGCAGTACAAAGTATGTTGCCGGATTAAAAGTAAATTGATTCTACCTGTGAAGGAATAGTATGACACTTTGGGAAATACGCAGTCCCGACACACACAGTTAGCTTAGCACAAAGACTGGAAATGGGCGGGCAGTTAGCCTGACTGTGTCCGAAAGTTAAAAAAATCCACTAACTTCACCAGCATTTCTAAAGCCCACTAATTCAAATGTTATATGTTCAATTCATGTAAAAGCTGAAGTGTAAAAATGATTCCATTATGATAGAGGATCAGATGTTGGACTATTACTTGGCCAGGTGCAGTAACTTCTTGGGGTCAGGTCATCACTGTGAGATTGCCAGGACTCCAGAAAGTTACTGCTCCAGGACAAGTAATGACGCGACACATAATACATTAATACTTCAGTTTTTGTACAGATTAAACAAACAAGACACAATGTTAATAAGCTAAGGTAAGGCAACCAGTTGCCAGCTGTAGCTTCAAATTTAGCATACACAAATGAAAGTGGTATTGATCATCTCATCTAACTTTTAGCAAGCAAATGAAGAAGAATGTACTCTTATTCTTTTTTTAATGGCTCATAAGTGCCCAATGCTTTTTTAAAATAACAAAAAGGCTAATGATATGGATAGTTATTGTAGATATACAGTATATAGTAAACATGAACATTTTTGATAATTGTGCTTTATTGTTTCAGCAAAGGACTCATTGTGCCGGAGGCCGATTGAGGAGATTGGCGATGGTAGTCAGTCCTCTCTCAAACAGAATCCAGAGCCCTGAGGTGAAACTTTGCTTGACATAAATGTGTCAACTAATACTGTGAACTTTTAGATCTGATAATCAGCACATGAATAATGTCACTCACATTTTCCTTATATTGTTGGTTTCATCTTAGAAATACGTGAGAAAAACAATTCACCGTATATGTACTGTTTGCTGTATGCACATTTTGCAGTGTGGTCAATATTTGACCTTTGTTCGTTCTGTTATAATAGAATATCAGGTGATTTATCTGAAAGATGTGTATGTATCATACCTCACTATTTGTCATTTTACTGTAAATCAATTTAAAGTGAAGTAGTAAAACATAGCTTTGAAGCTGTTATGCCTTCCTCAGTAAGATAATTTTATTGAAAATACTTAACTTTCAGTTTAACCTTAATATTTATTACAAATTTGGATATTCAGATTTTTGTATAATGACCTCAGGGGTCGTGCCACTAAATGCCTCATATACTTGTTACTCTTTTTAAAATGCATATATATATAGATATATATAGATATATATATCTATATATATACACAATCATATTTTTGCTGCTTTTTAAAGCCTTATGACATTATATGATATGATATGTTTAATGAGGCAAAGGACAAGTTTCTGAATAAATATACAATGTGAACGGTTCTGTAGTAAAGGTTGTAACGATTGGTACCACTCATTCAAACTGTTATGAACTGCTGAAGAGCCTTAGAAAAACATTTTATTTTCTTCATACTTTTTGTCTGTATTCTTGTCATGTTTTGTTTTTTCAGTTGTGTTCCACTGACAGGTCTGTTAAGCTGAAAATGGTAATTGTAAAAAGAAAAAAAAAAAAAAAAAAAAACTTGCTTTCAGTAGTATGTGGGGTTGAGGGAGTTCCCCATATGGAGTTAAATGTGCCTCTTTTTCCCACTGAGAAGTACTTCCTCTCACGTCTTCATTTCAACCGTTGGAAAGATTCATATTGTAAATGTGAGGACTTTCAAGTTGTTTATATCTCACTGGAGACTTTCCCCAGAATAGTACAGTCAGAGGAGTTATGAAAGTCTGCCCTCATTATTTTTCATTCATTTATGTTTTGTGGAGAAATCAGATACACAAGCTTAAAATCACAGGTGGCTGGCTCTATGTGAACAGTAGGATCGACATGGAAAAAGCAGTAGTTGGTTAAAAGTCATTTATTCCGTTAACAGCTGTTGTGTTGGAATACTCTAAGGAAAATAAGTTAACTCATATTTTTATTTAAAAACAATGGTGGACAAAGTAAAAGTACCAATACAACAATCCTAGTCAAGTAAAAATACAGAAGTATAGTATTATAATCTCTTTTTCTTTTTATTGTTGTTGTTGTTTTTAAAACTGATGCATCCGTGTAATGTAAGTAGCATTTTAATGTACAGTCAGATAATTTAGTCCAATAGTTAGTAACCTAGGCATCCTCCAAAGGCTCACGAGATAAATCTGAGAGAAAAAGAGAAGAAAAAAAAACATGTGGATCCATTTGTTTTTAAACTTTTCTATGATTTTGATTTTCTTTTGTGAAATATTGGATATTTAAATGAAACCATCTGAGAAGTATAGTTTTAATATAGTTTGCTGGTAACAACATAGAAATCTGAAATGTGATGAAGAATCCCAACCAGATACAGCTTTTATATAAATGTTGGGAACCACTGAGTTCATCACAATGTGATGTATTTTTTTTGTAGTTTGCTTATGTGTTGCATTTTATTTTATTATTTGTTTATGTAAATTTATATTCTCTTTTTTTAAATGCCAAATCTAACTAGTAACTAACTCTCATAAGGGCACCACAGTACTTTAGTAAAAGTACTTTACTTTCCATCATTGTTTAAAGGTATGAAATAGTTGGTATCTGACTCATATTGTACAGCATCCAACACCAATGTTTTCTGCCCTGTGCCCTGAGAGTGCGTGGATAAAGATTTTTTAAATAAAATTGTTTTACAAGTAAACTAACTGAGAATGAGCATGTCTTTCATAGAGTTCACATAAACTGGAAATGGTTCATGCAAATACTTACAGTAAATGCCTCTGACAAAGGAAGTCATTGTGCGGTTTCAAAGAAACAGTGCATGCATGAGCTCTGCCCTTTATATGTAGCTGAGCTATGGCAAAACTACCTTAGGGAGAAATCTAGTTTAGTAAGCTACGTAGAAAAATGTATAGCAAACAAAATATTGTTTAATGAACAACAAACAAACAAAATAGAAGCCACTCTATTGAGTTATTGCGAAAAGTGCTTACGTGTTCACAGGTCATAACCTAAACAAAAAAACTAAAACAACTATTCATGGGAAAGTACAAAGAACATCAGCTTTGGTTTTGTATAAAATAACCGTTTAAGTTTGTCCGTAGAGATTCTTCTTCAGATTTAGATTGAGGAGGTTTATCCATGATGATGTAGCTCTGTGACCACTGAGCAGCACCCACCCTTGGCTTTAGACTGACAAATGGATTACTGCAGTGTGCCTTTGCAGTGGTCAGGATTTTATAAAAAGGGAGGCATGAATGTAGTGAGTACTATCAGCAAGTTACTGCAAAATTTAAACTTCTAGTTTAAATTACAAGTTTAATTATATGTAGCCCACTACTCCCCAGCTCTGCTGATGATAAATAACATGCATCTTTGGGCATATACACATCTTTAGACTGGGTTTTATATTTTTTCAACTATCTATATTTGTAACAGGTTGCAGGTGCATTTCCACTTTTATACGTGCTATTCAATCCAGTCAATGTGATTATAGCATACAGCGTTATTTAAATATTTGTTAAAGACACTTAAGGCAACAGCTGTGTTTGTCCTCCAGACAACTATTATTGCAGATCAAACTGTCACAGCAAAGTGCCACCATCACATTCATATAAACCTAATGCTGTTGTTATGCTTTGTTTCTTCTTGGAGGAGACTGTCCTCCTGTGAAAAAGGAGCCCACAGTGCAGCAGCTTATTATCACCCATAGTTACGTTTTGTTGTTAGGTGACATCTAGCGGCCATAGTAATTATGACAGGAGCAAAGGGAAAAGTGATATAGTATAGTATGAAGAGAGACAAAGTCCACATTAGGGAGAGGTTGGGGTGGACGGATGCTTCAACAAAACACAGGAACATTACACAGGTGATCGCCGTTCAATTCCCATTTGAAACCAGTAGTTTATATTGTTTCTATTATCCATGACCGTTTGTTGTTATTATTGTAACCATGACAACAAAGATTGTCTGATGTTAAGTAAATACTTATTTTAACCCAAATCAAGTAGTTACCCTAACCAAGTAGTCTTTGCGCCTAAACCTAACGAAGCCATGACCGTTATTATGGTAATATAATATTATATTGTGTTTATTATGGTAACCATGACGACTGAGGTCTGGTAAGCATGGGTTCTGTTTCAGGCGACACTCCTATAGGTTGTATCAGAGGGTTGAAAAAGGTTGGACGACTTGTTGTCATGGAGTGTTCCTTTGTCCAATTTGGCATTTATACTTGTAATTGACTTTGAACTTCAGTTTCATATTATGTTAATCATTGTAAGAAAAACCCATTCAATTTACTTAGATTGGAGAACTGCACTTCTTTAACATTGCACTCCTGTTACATAGTCAGTCTCACGATAGACAAAAAGTATAAAAATTTGTCAAAAGCAGAATTACCTGGCGCCTGCACTACCCACAACAGAACTTGACCACCAACCGTTCAATCGGAGTTATGTGTTATGGTAATGGTAGCTAATGTAGCCTTGAGCCTCTAGCCTCAAGCAGAGATGAAGAGTGGGCGACAGAAGTCGGGTAAGTTCACTGCTTTCTAACTCCAGACCTCCAGACTTATTCATTTTCAAATTTGTAGTCTGCAGCCCCAACCAATGCTGCCTCAAGTGTATCAGATTTCACACAGATCCCTCTGGAGGTACAAAAGACAACTTTTTTTTTTTTTTCCACTCTTTCAGTTGTACTCCCCAAGACCTGTAAACACACTTTGATGTATTCAACCAGTGAAGTGCCACAGTGGCTGAGAGAGTTAAACACACTGGAGCTTACAAAAACACATGCAAATAGACAAAACACGAGCAAATTAAGAAAACATCTTCATTATAATAGACAAACAAAAATGAGAATGTATTGTCAAATTGATGATGGTGTGTTCTTAATTTGCTTGTGTTTTGTCTATTTGCATGTGTTTTCATGAGTTGCAGCTCTCACAGCCGCCACAGAGTTCCTCTTTAAGATGAAAAATTCAGAAGGCAGTGAATACTTTTTGTCAGCATCGTATTTTTCATCTTGGTTTGAGATTGTTTGATTTAAAGGAAGGCACATATCTTTATTGTTGGTATTTGGGCAGTTTTGTCTATATTCTGTCATCAAATGTCATAACCTTCAATAAGTGTCATGTTAAAGCCCCCGTGACAGCGCATGTTTTTCCACCCACCCTCACCACACTGCCTGAAGTGTGGGTTGCAATGTTCAGTGCAGCCTTAAAGGGAAATCCAGCTTTCTACAGTGTCTATATGGTGTCTGTTGTGGCTACTTTTGAGAACTACATGTACGTGCGTCTATGCTGATGTCACATCCTGACAGCGGTTTCGTATGTTTGTAACTGTGTGTGAGTGATAGAAAGAGAGAGAGAGAGAGAGGTAAATGACACGATGATGAATGATAATCTTGGTGGTACAGCCATATGCTGTGAGGTTTTCATGGGTATGAATTCAACTGGGGGATGCCACTGACCTACTTTCAAAAACACATGGTTTGGTGTTACTATGCACAGTGCTATATAATCTGAGATGAGTGCTCACATATTTCTACAGAATAAAGACAAACATCATCAAAAAAATTTTATGGCCACAAATCAGACATCAATATTAATCACTTCCTCATGCAGACTTTCGGCATGATTCAGTAATGTTTGCCTGGAGACTATAATACCTTGACAAGGCTCAACAACAACAGTATGGTTGCAATCAATTATTTTTTTATATATATATTTTTTTAGTATAGATTAGTCTGTTGCTTATTTTATGATCAATCTATTAACTGTGTGGTCCATAGAGCCATTACAGCGTTCCTGCTCCTGAGGTAATGTCTCCAGATTGCCACTGATATTCAATTTACAATGACATTAAACAGAGAAAAACAGCGAGTACTCACATTTGACAAGTTGGAACCAGTACATGAGTGGTACACAGTTGTTGGAGTCACCTCAGTCCAAGTGACTGCGATAGTTGTTTTTGGAGTTTGAAAGTGCTGGGTCTTGGCCTTAGGAGTTGGCCCTCCTGTGTTTAGCCATGCATTTGTTTAATGGTAGTGTGGTTTCACTGATGTATAGGTCTGTTCATCCCTTACTGCACTGAACTGCATACATTAGATTGCTTTTCTCGGTGTGTGATCTTTTGGATGGACCACTTTTTCTTAATGTGTTGCTGGGTTTGAAAATCACATTGATACAGCGCTTGTTGAAGATCTTCAGAGTTTCTCAGATACTCCTGACACGTATGGGATGGCGTTGTTGTTGTGTTTTTTTTTTTTTTTTCACCACCAACAGTGTCAGTATTTTTCCTGGATCTTGTGGTTGATTTTACAAAGATCCAGTTAGGGTATCCACAAGCTTAAAGTGCCTCCTTCGGGTGTTTGTGTTCCTTCTCTTGGGCCTGGACACTTGCAGGCACATTATCGGGTTGGTGTTGCAGGATTGTAGTTTGTGTTCCAGTGGGTAGTGACAGTCAAAGGGTAGGTACTGGTCTGCTACTTCTCAGAATTGTTGCTAATTAATTTGTGTAACTAAACTTTGGCAAGTATTTGCATTTACCAGGGAATCCCCCTGCCCTCCCCAACACACACACACACACAGACACACACACACACACACACACACACACACACACACACACACACACACACACACACACACACACCAAATATCAACAAACACATCTTAATACATAATCATGCAATTCTAACTGTGTACTCCCGCATCATATGAACTTCACAATGGCCCCTGATGTAAGCAGACACATTGGGTCTGAATAAAGAAGAAGAAAAAAGCAGGTCTGTGTGCAGTCCTCCTCCCTCTGCTGTAACACGTGTGCTAAACACTGTACAAGTTAATACTGCTAAAGAAAAAAACCCCAATGCAAGCTTGACCACATTTCACCAAGGTTATGTGACTGTAATCCACCCTCTTTCAGTAAGCCTGCGGCAAAAATTCACACTTAAAAACATTTTTTTAACCATTTATGTGAACTGACCTTTTTGCTGCAATCACAGTGTCATAATTAAGTTATTTTCTGTTCTATCATAGTGATATCAATAGTGTATTTGTGAACTAACATAAGTCAGAAACGAGATCTAGGCAGAATTAGATGGCATTTTATCAACTCTAAATCTAACATCAAACCTGAATCCTTTTTCAGGTTTCAAATAGCCAAACAAATAACAGTAACTTGCATGTTACTTATTTTCTCTCTTATAGAGGTGAAGTTGAAAATTAGGTACAAGTAAAATCTTAGCTTCAGATTGTGTGAATAAATAGTGGCAACATTGGGAATCAGAGCCAAGTGAACCCAAATCTGAAACCTGTGGAGTCTTGTATGTTAATCATATAAACTGCCACCAATGTAGTCTCTGTTGTCGTGCACCTTGGGTGTAAGGATTGGAGTTAAACTTCAACAGCTTCATCCCCAGTTACTGCTGAAGTGTTTGAAAGCTAAACCGAAAACAACACCTCCAACACCAACACATGATTCACAGGAAGGCCTCTACAAGATAGATCCATGATAATGAGCACAAGGTGATGACTCCCATTTTACTGTCTACTTTTGATGATCAAAAACCAGACCCCCCCCTCCAGTTATATAGTCCTGCTTCAAACGAATAAAATGAAAATGTAACAATAAACTAAAATCACGAGGGACATCTAGTAAAATACATGAAAAGACATACAGAAAGTTTTACTATTCATCCATCTTATACTGTTACCAAACAGCTTCCAGCTGTTGGTCTTTCACTTCCTTCCTTCTTTCCTTCCGAGAGTCTCAAAGCTTGTTAACCACACTCGCACATCACACTGACGTCATCAAGCTACCAAGACAAAACCCATAGGCACGAACGAAGCACTGGTCATAATGTTTCCTCTGGAGTGTTCACTGGTAGTTCTATATGCCCTGAGTATTTGGACTATAGGATATGCTAAAGTCAACTGCGGTGATCAACAGGTTCAGATTGAACAACAGTGCTGTGACAAGTGCCCCCCAGGTAAAATATATGATAGAATAATTTAATAATGATACAAATATGTTGAATTGCTTGACCTAATCATCAGATTATGTGTTTATGATATATGCTCAGAGGTTGCATTTGGGTTACTACGTGTGAATATTATATGCTTGAGTTTGACTGCATTTTTTTCTTGTTATGAAGGTAAATATGTGAAGGAGTTCTGCACAGAGCACAAGAAAACTCTCTGTAGCCCCTGTAATGACGGCTTCTTCTCGAATCAATACAGCATCTTTGACAGATGTGAAGAATGCCAGTCATGCCCATATGGTAAGACTGAAAAATAATGACAAAAATTGTATTTATTTAAATACAAAGAAAAAAAGGTAACTCTGCTCTCAGGACCTCTAGTGAAACACCTGCCACTGATGTTGGCAATCCATTTAACACAGTGGACAAAAGACAGAACATAGTTAACACTTTCCAGTGTGGTTTTTAATTCTCATCTGCCCACAGGATATGCTGAGAAATGTACGCCCATCACAGATGCAAAATGTTCATGTCCCCCTGGTTTCCTGTGCTCCAACAATGTCTGTTCTGCTTGTGAGGAAAACAAACACGTCACACAGGAGAAACTGAACATGACAGGTGAGACTAGACATTTTGAAGAAAAAGGAATTGGTTGTCATAACAGCTAGTTAGTTTCAAAGTTATTGGCTGCATGGCACTGATCTGTTTTGGCAATTTGAATCATGTTATGTCTGTTTCTGATTGTGGGTGTTATATCATGAGATGTCAAAGTATGAAAATGGAAATAAAACGTAAGTTTGACAAAGCCCTATGTGTAGGTTGGGTGCCCACAACCTACTTGACATTTGTCAGTGCATGTATAAATCTGAAACGCTAGTTCACTCACACAATCAAGCTTGCTGTTATTAAATATTTAATGTAAACATGAATATGTGTTAAAGTGGTCCTTTATGAGTGAAGAAAGGGAGAGCAGATCATAATGATGTCAAAAGAGCTTAGTAAGGAAATTTGCTTAACTTGGAGTCTTGACAAATGCATGGTGTGCTGACTGGCATGCGTTTCCATTCCCTGATCAGACCTTTATCTCAAGGACATCCTTTTTGAAGTGTTCAGTACATGAAAGGCGTGCTTTGAGTTAAACAATAATGCCAGTTTCTTGGCACACTCACAATGACAATGCTACCATACTGATGCGAGGAGGGTACTTACCTACCTACCTACCTACCTACCTACCTACCTACCTACGTACCTTCCTATCTATCTATTTATCTATGCAGACTATCTGTGCCCTGAAAATGCCTATTTTGATGCGAAAAACAAAATCTGCAAGCCATGGACACAGTAAGACCCATTTAAAAGAGTTGTACTACAATAATAATTCTCCAGAAAGCAACAATTACATTAACACAAACAGTTTCTGGTCAACAGGTGCAGTGCGATTGGACTTGCTGAACTGTTTCCAGGAAACCAAACCCACGACTCAGTTTGTCTTGTACTTGGTATGTAGACAGAGCAATATAACATAACATGGGTCCAGCAGCTCTCACCATAATAAGCACTTTTGTTATGCTGTACACCAGTACATAATGGGGATATAGTTCAATTGAACTAACGTGACTGTAATGTGATGTTTCAGCAGCGGTGCACAGCAGTGATGGAGAACACATTCATGTGATTCTTGGCATCAGCTTTGGTTTGGTCTCTCTCAGCCTCCTTGTGTTTCTGTGCTATGCCTGTACAAAGAGCCTAAGGAAGCTCAAAGCAAGTAAGTCAATTTCAATGGAAAATGTATAAATGTGTCAACTGAACATGTCAACACATATTCTAGATTTCAGTCACTAAACCACAGGCATGATTTCAAGAAATCAGTGTCAAATCAATGCGTCTGAAACTGAATATGAAGAACATGTTTTATCATTTAACACACTGAGTTAAAGTGGTTTGATGTTGCTTTTTTGGACACTTATCAATAAACAAATAAACTGTGAAGTGATTTAAATGCTTCACTGTTTATGCAGCCAATTGGTTTTAGAAGTCATTCAATTTTGGTAATTGGGGATCACATGTATATAGTGAAGGGGTTTCAATTAGATGCATGGAAGAGCCAACTTTTTGTGAGTCAGTATCATGATTAAAGCTACACCACATAGAAAAACTCCAAGCAGATCTGCAGAAATGTGTTCAAAAACCAAAATTCAGGGGATGGGTGCGAGAACATTTACAGGTCACTGAGCATCCCTTGGACTGTAGTTAAACCAAACATAAAAAAAAAAAATGAAAAAAGTATGGTGCAGCTGTGCAGGATATCTTCAAGAAAGGTGTGGGAGGCCACCAAGAGACATATGACAAGTCTGAAGCATTGTACATGTGGACACTGCACGTTTCCCCTTCTCTGCAAAACTGCTCAAACTCAGTCAGGTTACGGGAGTTATGTGTGAACAACAGCATTTTTCAAGTCCAGACACAAATTCTCAGTTAGATTGAGATCTGGACTGACTGTTTTCTTCTGGTTACTAAAGGATCAAAAAAACATCACATTAAATCAACTTTGACTACTTTAACTTTTAACACATTAAAACAGAAAGACTTCCAAGAGTGATGAATACTTTTTAAAGGCCCTGCATTTTACAGTACAGTATGTACCCATGCATTCAACAATTGTTATGCTTTGTGATACAAGAAGATGCAGTTGTAAATAAGATTCTTTTATTATGAGCAAATTGGAGAATATTGGTTGTTTTATTATGGCCCATAGCCTCTGAAAGCAATAAAATAAAATAAAATAAACAAATAACTAAACAAATGAATCAATGATTCATTCTTAAAGTGTGCATTTTGTAAAAAGGTTTTGGTAAACAAATTAACATTTAATATTTTAAATCAAAAATAGATAAGACAAAAAAAGAAAGAGAAATCTTTGTTGTCCATTAACTGGTCTGTGTGAAATTTGTCTCAAATACCTACATTAACGATGTCCACATAATAATAAAAACACATTTACACTTTATTTATATATTTGAAAATAAGTTGAGATGAAAGTCTAAGTCTAGATAAAATGGGGAAATCACAGACCAAAACCGAGTACACAGTGTGTGGGTGTAAGAATATGACAAGTCTGCAGTGAGCACTTACTGAAAAATTGGTATTTTGTTACTGATTTCAAAACATTTTGTTCGTCTTTATTCTCTCTGCTTCAGATAATTATCCTGTCTTAGTGACCTCTACCAACACTGGTGACTTTCACCTGTCAAAGGAGGAGAGTGGACTCCAGTTCATCATTCAGGATGAAAGCAAGGACAGCAACACCTTTGGCGAACTGCATGTGGGAAAAGTCACCTTTCCTTGATAAAAAGTCTAAGATGAAAGTCTGACTAACTACATCTATACGATACAGAATCAGAACACCCTATAAACAGTGGAACGTGTAAAGGTTAGAGGTGCAGGCTTCTGAATGAAAGGTCCAAGCTTTGATCTCTGGACTGATCACATAGACCTGGACAGGAAGCTGAGAGGCCAGCATGTGCGCCTTCCCTTTTACCACTGTTGAGGTTCCCTTGGGCAAAGCACTTAAATTCTGGTCCAGTAGTGCTACTTTTGTCAAGTATAAAATAATAATACAAAGTAAAAATAGGAAAAAACTAAATCTGTGAAAATCTAAAGACTGAGGTATTTCATTGTCTAATGTGCACTTCACTTCTCCAGATATGGATGGGGTGTGACTAAAGGTTATGCTTGGATTTAGCTGAAATTATTTGAAGAATTACATGTTTTTCTATTACTAAGGGACTTAAACAAAATTGACATTACAACCAAAACATTAGTAGTCTTCTGTATATTTATTTGTAGGGATACACTGACCAATACCTCAGCTCAGGGTATCTGCCGATACTGAGTACTGATTGGATACCAGTCCTCTTATATTTTCCTAAATTCATTAATTTAGTTTAATGTGGATAGGTCACATCGTGGCTGATATCCATGCTTATGGTAATAAGGTCATAATCAGCACAGATACTGATCTGGCGTATGAGATTACCCTTAGTTATGCAGGGAACCATAACGGTAACCCATTCCTGATACCCATTCCCAAGATTTTAGTATACCAGTGTGCTCACATATAAGGATATAATGAGAGAGGTTTGACAGAGTGGACAAAATCATGTCATTATAAAACTTTATAATAAATGATATACTGTATATATTCTTCATCTGAAATGTGGTATAAAAACAAATGTTTTCCTCTGAAATGTTGTGGAGTAGAGGTATAAATGAAACATACTCAGTACAGTAGCCTACTTGAGTAAACGTTTATTACGTTCCACCACTGAATGTTACTCACATCAACAGGATGCAAACCCCCCACACTTATTATAATAAACACTGAGCAGATTTTCGAGTAAAATGGGATGTATTGAAACATTGTATTAAAATATTTTCATCAATACTTTCATGAATAAAAGAAATCCAGTTCTCGCAAGTGGTTGTAGTTTGAAAGTGGCTGTGCGTGTTGGGGGCGCTGTCGGGCACTTGTTGGCTGACTGATCATATGACAGCTGCCTGCGTCCCACTTCCCCTTCCCCGCTGGAAAACGCCACAGCTGACAGGGAGGGAGACACACATACGAACGCAGGGGAGTGTTAACACCGACCTCAAGATGCTGGCACTAATAAACCGGCTGTTGGACTGGTTCAGGTCTCTGTTTTGGAAGGAGGAGATGGAGCTGACGCTGGTCGGCCTCCAGTACTCGGGAAAAACAACATTTGTAAACGTGATCGCTGTAAGTCTTCAGCTGCTGCTAGCCAGCTTGCTAGGGTAGTGCTAATACCATTAACCGCTAATAATGGGATAATAGCTACCAAGTTAGGTTTGTGCTGACCTACATTGTCTGGGTTGTGGGTCCAGAAACTAATGTAACGTTACTCAGCAGCATCCACAACCAAACACACCTGAAACTGAATCTGTGTCACCTGAGCTAACTGGTTTTGCTGCTCGTCGGCTAGTTGGTGACTGTGTTGTGATTGTTTAGCATGCTAAACCCAAACGCAGCATACATATATCTAGCTTTGTGGTGACTTACATGTGATCACCCCCGAACTGTTCGCGTTTTTCAGCCACCGAGGAGATCACTTCATAACATGTTGACAATTACAACAGCTGTCTGGGGTGTAGCCAAACAGAATGGATCTCACACACACAGACACAGCCGTGTTAACATTTCTACAAAATGTGTCACCTTTGTGGGCTACTGATCTCCTGCCACAACCTGAAACTGACCTCCTCTACAATTCAAAATATAAATATATAATTTTCTATAGTAGTAGTAGTAGTAGTAGTAGTAGTAGTAGTAGTAATAGTAGAAGCCTGTTGGGTAAAATTGAAGCTGGCTCTCTGAGAGTGAGTAGAGCTTGGGTCACTTCATTTTAAAGTTGTGCATCTATTTTTTGACATATTTAGAAAAATGTGTATTTTTGGCAACCAGTGGTATAAAGAGCTATAATTTTAACAGTCTCTTTGGTCTTCCTTCTTTCTGCAGTTGTGACCATGTGAAATGCAGCTGCTTTCGATGCTAATATTGATACATGTCCCAAAATCTTGTGACTGAGGCTGAAGAGCATCTTTGTTTTTCTTGTGTGTGTTGGAGGACATTTCTCTTGTGCAACTTTGCAGGGATTTCTCAAAACTGGTGTTTCTGGTGGAGCAATTTTCTTGGCTAATGACTACACAGTAACTGAGGTTTTAAGCAGCATATTGTGAAACCCTTTCTTTGGTTATTAGAGTTGTTATCAGTTTGTGGTGGTGATGCACATGTTTCTTTCTACTCAATCAGCTCCATCTCCAACCTATCAAATTAAATGTTGCTGTTGTAAGTTCAGTCTGATTGTGTTTCATTGGTGCAGAGCCCTTTAGCTTGGTGTGAAAATATTCTGTTCTATATTTGTTATGCTTCAGATCCGTGGAGAGTAGTGCACATTTACACTACTGTAGATTTCACAGTGCATGTCATGAATCCTTGAATCCAAATATTGTTATACTTTTCCTCTGCCAAACTCTTAGGACTGTGGCAGTCTGCTGTCTGTCCGGTTTATCCTCTTATTTAATCTGTGCTATCGATGATCTGTGCACCTTTGTGTTAATTTTCAAGTGTGTTTAGGAGTTGTTTTTTAAAAAACATTTTCAACTGGATTGATAGGAATTTAGGTTAACTTTGATACTAGTGGCAACATATTTCTATTAAAGCTAAAAAAAACTCATCAATCAGTCAACATAAAATGTGATCATATTGAAATGTAACCATTCATTGGTTCTAGCTTGTTGTTTCTGTCCCTTCTCTGTGTTATATATCATTGTTAACTGAATATCTTTGTTTTGCGCTGACAAACATAACAAGAAGATGTCTTTAGGAAATTGTGACAGGCAGATTTCACTGTTTTCAGATGGTTTTTTTTTTACATATTAAAGGATTAGTCAAGAAAATAATCAGCAGATTGATAATAATTGTTAGTTGCAGGTCATCTATTCCAATAAAGTAATAAGAATTGGGTGTATTTTTGTTCATCTTAAACAAGAAAAGGAAAAGGCAAATCACCAGCACAGATTTAATGTGCATTTAAGTTTAAAACAAAACAACAACTTCACAGAAAATCCCATAGATAAAAACTGAATGTTCACCCTGAGAATCTGATAGAGAGGGCGGGTGTTTGAGGAGGAAGTTGGGTTTGGGGTTGAAGCATATCTCTGCTTCTTCCTTCACGCTGATGAGATGAAAAAAAAGGAGACGCAGAGTTTTGAGTATGTGAATGGTTGTAGAGGGGGTGGTTCCTCCTTCCTCAGTCATAAGACTGCTGCACTCATTTCCACTTAGCTTCATCAGGTGACTCCAGCCAGTCATGTGCTGTGAAATGTGTGTACAGCAGACTGTGCATGCAGGTTTACAAAGGAGGGGAGGGAGAAGGAATATAAACAGCTTGTGATGTTAAAGGGGAATGCCACAGATTCTTTATGTTAAAGTGGATTGTTCTTCTTCCCACTTCAGTCTGCAGTAATGAACAGTCACCAAAGCCAGAACATGTGGAGACACAGTATCTTATCACTTGGCTTGTTTGTCACTTTAGTGTAAAATCATTTATTCTGTGTTTGTTTACATTTTTGCTTGCCTTTGCTTGCCTTGCCTTTTCACAGGTTTGGACATAGTTATACATAAACTCGATTATATGACTCTCAGTCATGTATCATAATTATTATATTGTCCAGAATCCCTTTCCAATTCTGCAATAAATGTCTTGTTTAAATGCTTATATGCTTTTATAATGGGATATGAATGATTTAAAAACAAACCCTAAACCTTAAATTTGGTTTTAATGATATTGACTTTTGTATTTTAAGATAATAGTGAGTCCACCATGTATTTTATGAACTGATGATGATTATTTTTGTTATTATTAACTAACTCATTTTTGGAGATCATTTAAAGCATTAAATGCTTTAAATGTGCGTGCGTGCGTGCATGCGTGCGAGAGAAGTGGCTTTTTGCTACTCAGGCCTAGTTAATTCATTGTGGACGTGCATTTTTTCAGTACTGAAAGTCACTTTTCAGTCAGTTTCATAGGAAATTACTTTTGCTTATGTCTTTTCTTTCAGTCTGGTCATTTCAGTGAAGACATGATCCCTACAGTCGGGTTCAACATGAGGAAGGTCACCAAAGGAAATGTCACCATCAAGGTCCAGTTTTAATTTTTACACTGTTATCAAAACAATGAAATTAAATGTTAATTAAATGCCACCAGCAGACTGGTGTTACAGAAGGCGGTAATTGCATCGTTAATGACATTTGGAAACAGGGATATCATGTGCTGATGTGCCCTTAATTCTGTAGATCTGGGATATAGGAGGGCAGCCAAGGTTCAGAAGCATGTGGGAGCGGTACTGTCGGGGAGTTAATGCGATCGTGTGAGTATCCAAGGTCTGGCTTTCAGATAAATAAATGAGACAGAAACAAGATGCTGGCATTCAGCTGCGCAACCTGTAAATATATGCAAAACTCATTTTAATCTCTGTTTCAATGTGGATCATTTTTAGGTACATGGTTGATGCAGCAGATCGAGAAAAGGTGGAGGCATCTAGAAATGAGCTTCATAATTTATTAGACAAACCTCAGTTGCAAGGAATTCCTGTAAGTGTTCCCCTGAAACCACTTTGAAGTTTAGTTTAATTTCTGCACCAGTCATGCAAAACTGTGCGTGGGTTCTGTCAGCGTTTTCTTGCTGCAGTTGCAGATTTCAGTTGTCATCTGTTTTTTTAGGTTCTGGTACTTGGCAACAAAAGGGATCTTCCCAGTGCTCTAGATGAAAAGCAACTCATTGAGAAAATGTAAGTATCAAAAACATTTATTTAATTTAATTACAACTGAACATCTAGTTCTGTCATTTTTTATGCACATAAATGCACTGTAGATTCTGTCTGTCATGAAAGCTGGAAAAATAATTAGGGATTTAATATTATTGTGTATTATTTTACATTTACATTTTTTTAATTTTATTATTGTTAAGACTGCAGCAATGTTAAGGCGTATTTACTGTGAAGATCTGGCTCTTTCTGCTAAGTTAGGAACATGCGCTGAGACTTTTGTTAAACTGCATCCTGCAAGCTGCACATGAATGCGATAGATGATCAGTCCAGATGTACACTTATCATATTTGTTCATGCATCTTTTTCCCTTCATAGGAATCTGGCAGCTATTCAGGACAGGGAGATATGCTGCTATTCAATTTCCTGCAAAGAGAAAGACAACATTGGTAAGTTGAAATTAATTACTGCAGTATTACTTCCACTGTGAACAGAGTGGCACCTCCTCTTCACTATTCAAAACCATATTATTGAAACACTTTCATTGTTTAGATTCAATTTTGATGGTGTAATTGCATCATTTATTTCGATGTGCTCAAAAAAATACGCTTAACAAGCTGCAGGGAGCGATTCACACTTTTTTCCCTGGGTTTTGCCTCTCAGGCTGCATACAGTCCCTACCTGCATGTACTGCTGGTTGTACTTAGGGCTTAATCTAGGTTTGTATAGTTAATATTCTCCTGAAAAGATGCTACAATTGAACATTGATCAACGATGAGGCAGCCAAGGACAGTTCTCTTCTGTCTAATCTATCTATCAGTACTCTCAAGTGGCCCTGTGGAGTTTTACTGCAAACAAACAAAAGTTATGGTTACCGTCCTTCAGTGTGACTCATAAAAATGCTGTGCATGCATTCTTGAGGTCTGACAAACTTGTCAAGTACATTCCTTCCTGGTAAAACTTTTGCAAAGCCAATTCTTAAAAAGTATTTCAACTCCAGCTTTGTTTACAAGCTTGCACTCTTCATCTACCCTGCCTGGTGCATTGCATCGTATCCTGGCACGTTACCGCCACCTGTTGATCAGTGTTGTGACACCATTGGTAGGACTGTAACTCACAGCTCCGACAGCGCCATTGCGATACTGGAGGTCTAAAGATGATATTGAATCAGTTATTGCATGAATAATGCAGCAATTTACACAGCATAGCATTTATTTAAATTAATTCTTTTTTTTTTTACATTACCATTGTATTTTACCATTATTATGGGAAGCACAATGATGTGTTTCTTCATCTGGTTTCATTGTGTCACTTTCACTTCAGACACCAAATTTACCCTCAGGTTAACAGTACAAGAGAGGGGGATCATTACAGCAAACACCAAATATGAGTATAGTAGTAATTTAATGGGGTTCTATGTTGCTAAAACTGTGCCAAAATTGTATCAATGTACCAATATTGAGTGTTGCTAGCGAGTAAGAAATGTCTATATCATGAACTGATCCTCAGACTGACTTGGCATGTTTTTTTGATTTCAGATATCACGCTTCAGTGGCTCATCCAGCACTCTAAATCCCGGAGGAGCTGAAAATGCAGGAGCTGTTTGCCAGCTGTGTTTGCCATGTTACTGTCATGCCACACCTTCATCACTCTGCGATGATGTACAGTTGTATCTTCAGCTCACATGTTGCACTGTTCTGCTCGTGTCATACAATTTCTTTTCCCCTTTTCACCTTGTGATTCTTTCACAAACCCTGACAATGCACTACTAAAAATGTAATTCTGGTACCAAATTTAAGGAATGTAATTGGCATTATACGTCCTGTGAAGCTGTACTTTAACTAGGAGTAAGAACCTACTTTCTGATCTACCTTTTACCCTTCAGGCATTACTTGGTTGATTATACCCAGTGGTTCGTAAAACTAATCTTGGGTATAGAACAACACACTCTTGAAGGAGGGTTTATTCTGTCAAACGGGCCTCACATAATGAGAAATGTTCTTCACACAGTTAGATAATGATGCCAGGAGATGGCTGATGTGGACATGCAGGTTTTCTGTCTAGCTCTTCTCTAATGACGATCACCCTTAGCTTGATCAGGTTTTCTTCTTTCAAAGACATGTCTGTTGTTTTAGAAAATTGTGCATTTAAGCACGTCAATTTGAGCAGGTCTGTACAAATATCAAGCTAATATGATTTTTACTGATGTGAGATGTGCGTGTATGAATATATGACTCTATTTAAAGTCTGAATGTACTAAAAGTAAAGCTGTACGGGGTTGTGTGGTTCATATTGGCCTCTGTTTGTAATTAGCCTCAGTGGAATGATGTCCTTTGTGCTGCCTCTATGCTGACAGAGTGGCGGAATTTAAAGTGCCTTGTGCAATGTCTCTCACCTCTGAAGCAAAGCAGCATGCAAGGTGTGCCCACCTGGGTAGACTAAAAATACACCACTTCAATACATTCAAGAAATAAAAAGGCATGCTTTTTAATTTAGACACTGTCCTGTTATTTGTACCTCACCTTTTTGGACTCTCATTCTGGATATCTTACAGAACAGTTAGTGATGGAAAGAATATTCAAATACCACTTGTAGCAACACCACAATGTGAAGATAAGACCCTGTACACCCACACAGGTGTTTTCAATTACCTGCCTGATTACACCTTGGCTCAGGTTGAGGCTGAGTTGAGCTCGTATGTTGGGGATTACCCAAGGTCTTGTATTCATAACAAGTTCAAGAAAACATAGAGGGATGTCAACCAGGTTCATCTTGTATACACCTGCACAGTCCTGACAAGAAGTCTAATGAGGTGGAAATACCTGTGCAGCTGGACCATGGGTGTTTAGAAAATTCCATTTAAAATACTTAAGTAAGAATAAAAGTGCACTTCCTGTGAAATAAAAAATACTAACTCAGTAGAAACTGCTATCTATACATATGGTAATTACGCAAGCAGTACTTTATCAAAATGTAAAGACATATCTTGACTTAACATATGGTAATGTAGCATTTCTTATTCATGTTTTGCCTTTAGGGCACAGTGCATTAAAGTGATTGCAGTCTATTGAATTCATTTCTTTGTCAAAAATTCTTTATCTTTTCATGAATATTTCAATAGGATGGTTAAAAACCGTATGTTACGCATGCACAGGTGTTTTAATTTTTTTAGCTCGATTAGACCTGTTGTCAGGAGTGCCACATAAATGGCTTATAAAATACTAACACTTTATAGATCCGATTTCTCACATTCTAAAAAGATGTCAGCAGTTAAAGGGCGTTAAATCCATCTTGTCATGTAAAAGTTATTGTAAAATAAATGGGTTAGGGTCCACATTCTCTGCAGCCCTTTTCCATAAGTGGTCAAACAGTGCAATCAGTGACAGGGGTTTTGACAACCTGTCAACTCAAACATTGTTGTTATTTATGGATCATGATCACAGTATATTAATCAATAAAGCCACCACTTAAATCCCTGGTGTATTACTACAAAGTGTTACCAATATTTCTAATTGTACAGACTAAAATATCTCCTTAATCGCCTCCACTTTTTAGCCAACAGTTACTCTGGACCTAAGCTCTGCACCTCTAATCATTTCACTCTTGTGTCTATTTTCTATTGGCGCAGAAGTTAAATTAAGACACGTCAGGATTGCCACGAAACGCAACCAGGAGATCGGCAGCTCTGCAGCCAATCACTGGACGAGCCTGCCTCTACGTCTGAATGACGACAGGGAAGGACCAATCACACCTCAGGATGTGGGAGGGGCTGGTTTGTTGACAGGAAGCGTGTGAAGCGGAATCACTACAACGTCTCTGTGCTTGTAGTTTAGCCATAAACAGAGGATTTCTCATTCGTTCATGTCCCCTGTTGGTGTGTGGACTTAAAATTATGCGTTGTAAGATCGCACCGGGGCAAAGATGCAATGGAGGTCAATAGTAGTTGGTCTAGTCGTACTGAGACTCTCTCTCAGCTGTGTATTGTGGTTAGCCTTCGGACTGGGACCTAACGTTAGCTGGGGGTTCAACTTCCATCTCAGTTTCAATTTGCACAAATTGGACTTGTTATTCAGGGAGGAAAAGGGGACCGACCCGAGGGGTAACTCGTGGTCTCAGCGTATACAGGGCCACAAATATGAAGAGACGGCGACCACCTGTGCAAAGGTTGGAGAGGAGTCAACCAAGAGATCCTACCTGAGCTTCTTCGATGGCAACAAGGACGAGTACGTCCGGAGGTACAGCTCCTTTCCCGACGCGCTGAAAGCGAAAATGAAGGACATGGCCAAAGAAATGTTCTACTTCGGATATGACAACTACATGAAATATGCCTTTCCTGAGGACGAGCTGAATCCCATTGATTGTGAAGGGAGGGGACCAGACGTCCTAAACCCGTGAGTCATTCAAAGCCTACACACTGCAGGACAGTGATTTACATCTTAACTGTCCCATGCACACTGTGCTATTTGTATACAGTTTGTAATCAAATTAGCTCGTAGTGTAATCCTTGTGCTCTCAGTGCTGAGCAGGTTATGGGTCATACAACTTTGCATTGGACAGGTACCATAACTAGGATCCAGGTGCAAGTTGAGGGGTCTTAATGGGCTCGTTTTTGTTACATGAAGGAATTGTTTAATTTGGGATAATGAGACATCATGCAAATACGTAACCCATTGAAGGTATAGGGGAAAATGATAAGGGCTGCAACTAATGACAGAAAATAGTGAAAAACATTTCCTAGAGCCCAGAATGACATCTTCCATAATTAGATTTGTCCAACCAACAAAGATACCCATTTTTTCAACTATTCAAATTTGACAGAACCAAAAACAAGTAAATGGTTGCTACTTTTGCTGAAAAAACATTAATTTTATTTTGACTTATTTTGAGCAGAGGTGATAACTCAGTTAATCGATTAGTTGATCAACAGAAAGACCTGTCTTGCGATGTGATCACATCAGCCGTGACGCCTGTCAACATGTTGACATTCCAACCCAAGACTGTGCTGTTGTCGTTACTACATTTTTACATGACTTCCCATTACTCATGGGTTGGACCACACCCATCTTCAAAGTCTGCCTTCATTTTGTTCTCACCCACACACCTGTGTACTTTCGTGACCGTATTTTGCATGGTTGCGACCCTATCGCAGTGACAAAATCTTTCCACAGACAGACAAACACATGAACACCTGCCAAACCACCTCTATGGTGGTTGCTGCTACGGTAGATGTCTCCAGGACCACATTTTGCCATGATCACACAAACACGCAGACTCACAAGGTGCAAACAATACCAGGCACGCTGTTGCTGCTGGTAATAATTAGCAACTATTTAGATAATCAGTCAAACATTTCAATCATTTTTCAAACAAAAACCTGAAACAATGCCAAATATGATCTGATTCCATGCTCTCAAATGAGATGATTTCCCACTCTTTGTCATATCTCATTGTAAACTAAATATTCTTGTGTATTTCGAGTTTAGGTCATAGCATAACCTCCTTGGCAGGGGTAATAATTGTTTTGTGCAGCTCTTAACTAATTAAACTGTTTAATCAACTACTCTTTAAAGCTCTTAAACAGCTTGGAAAGCTGTTCTAATCTTTCAGTTTCTCTGACACATTTGGGCTACGTCTGCGTTAGTGTGCACTTGTATAGCTGTAACATCTGTGCATTTTATTCCCCTGTGCAGAACATAGAAACTGAAATGCAAGATGTAAAAGAGCATTCTGAATGATTTGGGCGTGGTATGTAATCCACAGTTTCATAATACATTCGGTTATCTAAGACTTTCAGGGTTAACCGTTTTCTAGTTTGTCGATAAAGTTGTGTTAGTAATAATACAGTCATTGTCTGCAGTGAGTTAGACGTGAGCTTAAGGCACATTCAATAAGATAAAGCTGTAACAGAAGAAAATTTGATGTCATCAAGAATTTACATTTTCCCCAAGAACCATCACCTTAATTACAGTAAAACATATTTACTATGCAGCCATAGTGGCATCAAGCCAAGCAGGTGGTTTTGTTTTTTGTGCCCAGGGTTTGAGATATCAAAATGCTGCCACCCAAATACAATGGGGGTGACTGGTTTTGTTTGTGATGCTAAAAGCATTGAAAAAGACACCAGTAGATGATAGACACTGTTCCCTTGATCAGGCAGGCTATTCTAAAGCCTTGATAGTCTGTTGGCAAACACCTTCACTCCAATCAAACTCTCCTTAGATGCAGCACAGAGGAGGAAGGGGTTTAGGGGTTTCCTGGTTTCCCAGATCACAGTTGGTGTGTATCTATTGGATTGTGATTGATGTAAAACAAAAAGAAGTCACCTTGGGTTTTGGGAATTTGTGATAGACAGTTTTCACTGTTGTCTGACAATTTATTGACCAAATTATTAGAGGAGAAAATAATTGTCAGATTAATCAGTAATGAAAATAAATGTTAGTTGCAGTCTTAGCCTATACTGATGCGGACTATGTAATAACGGAGCACAACCACACTTTGTCTCCAGCTTTGGTGATTGTTTTAATATTTTCACGAGTTCTGAATTGAATGTGATCTTACTGTTGTTCTGTCCATCTGTCCTGTCATTGCTAATTCAAAATTTTACACTCACATCACAACACTCCACTTTGCTATTGGATATAAGATTTGCCTTCAGTTGTGTGATCTGTTAATTCTTTGTCCCACTTTTTCATGACACCGCTGCATCAGTTTCACTGCTTTCATTTCAGGTCAAACATCAACATAAATGACGTCTTGGGGAACTACTCCCTTACACTGATTGACACCTTAGACACTCTATTGGTAAGTTACACCCAGTTTTTCTTTCTCATGATGTGTCTACAGAGACAAAGTTGGAAATTCCAAAACAGGATCTATGCAAGATTGATCGTAATAGTTTACCAACTGATTCGCTCTGGCATTTGGTACATATTGTGTGTTTTGCCCTACATTCATGGGCATGGGGATATAGAAGTTTACACTTCCTCTGTTTGTGGGTTTTCTGCCACTCTCAAAACCTCCCCTGACACAGAGTCAGGTGGAGCAGATTTTCTAAACTGCCTGTAGGTATGAGTATGTGTGTGTGAGCCCTGACATGAACAGTTCAAGGAGTCTCCAAAAAAAATGAAGGCACCACAAAAATCTATGTACATAATCAAATTATTTATTTCACTAAACTTTATATGAAAACTAGTAGTTGTGATCTACAATGATGAAACTTAAAGACATAGTTATGCAGCCAAACAAGCTTGTAGATTTACTGTGCTTACATAATTTGGTATATCTCTCCAGGTGCTTGGCAATGTGACAGAGTTCCAGAGAGCCGTCAAGCTGGTTATAGATACTGTATCTTTTGACAAGGATTCAACTGTGCAAGTTTTTGAGGCAAACATCAGGTACAAATGTTGTAACCGTTTTCATTGTCAAACACAAAAGGCTTTTGCAGTTTTCTGTTTATCCAGTAACTGATCAGGCTAAATTCTGAAGTAAAAAGTGTATGAACATGGTTTTGTAGTAGGTATTTAATATACATCTCAGTAGACAACATCCTCAGAATTCTTATAATTTCAAAGAGGGAATATTTCAAGACACAGATCTTCCATGACTCTCTCAAATAGCCTGGCAATTTGGTCCAGGGAACTGCTTCAGTAGGACAGCTGTTTGTCTTTTATCCTTTCCTTTCCTTTAAACAAGCACAGAAGCAAGGCAGGCATTAGTTTCCCACCTGATCACATTCAATTGTGAAGGCCATAATTATTATTACAATGTTGTCTACAATTTGACAAAGGCGAGTGATTACAAAGTTAAACTTCAATGATGTCTGAAGTAATTTATTATGTTTGACTTGCTGTTACCACACAGTCCAAAATGAATGAATGAATGAATGAATGTCACATTAAATACATACACATATTGATATTAATGACAGAAACGATTTGTTTCTGTGTGGCATCACAATGTAATATTTGTTTTTTCTTTGAAGGATCTTGGGAAGCCTTATCTCATCTCACATCCTGCTGACTGACCCAAAACATCCGTTTGGCAAGGTGGGCCTTGAAGGTTACGATAATGAGCTGCTTCACTTGGCTCATGACTTGGCTGTCCGTCTGCTGCCGGCCTTTGAGAACACCAGCACAGGCATTCCTTACCCCAGGGTGAGTCACACTGCTGTGAATTAGAGGTACATTTCACAAGGTACCTGCTACTATACACACAAGCTATTCAAACGGTTCTTGCAGTGCGTACTGTAGCTCTCATGTGAGTGAAACTGGATGACTTCCGAGAAACCGTACTGTAATGGTGGAAATATCAACTAGCAGCCTTACTGAACTGTACCTTACATGCAGGTGAACCTGAAGACTGGGGTCCCGCCTGATAGCATCAATGAGACTTGTACTGCAGGAGCTGGGTCCCTATTGGTGGAGTTTGGGATTTTGAGCCGCTTGATTGGTGATTCCACATTTGAGTGGGTGGCCAGACGAGCTGTCAAAGCTCTGTGGAAGCTGAGAAGCAATGAAACCGGTCTGTTAGGTATGTACAGCTGTGTGCTGTAGTTTAGAGAGGACACTTTCTGCTTCTTTTTGTTCACATGCTTTCTTTACTTTTCTTTATTTTAGTTGATTTCTTCCCAATACGATAAAGACTACACCATGTAAATATGGTACTAATAGTTCATCTGTCAACTGTCTGTGATTTCTGTCCTTAGGGAATGTGGTTAATATCCAGACAGGCCAGTGGGTTGGAAAGCAGAGTGGTCTTGGAGCTGGCATGGACTCTTTCTATGAGTATTTGCTCAAATCATACATCCTTTTTGGCGAGAAAGAGGACTACAGGATGTTTCAAGCTGCTTATGAGAGCATACAGAACCACCTGCGGAGAGGGTGAGGCTCACACTGGAAAAAATGTGACGCAGTAGTTTGTGTGCATTTGGGTGAAAGTAACTGAGTGTGTTGGCAGCATTAGGAAGCTCCACGTGAGGTTGTGCCCCACTTGAAAAGTGAAACTTAAACATCTATGTAAATGTCTAGGATTGGCCAGATAAAGAGGAATTAAAATTGCTGACGATTTCCAGAGTTATTTTTCTTATCAAAGGATGTGGAAAGCTGAACTTTGAGGCTTGTGGCTGTCATGAGATGGAAATGTAACACTTTATTCCGCTTCAGCAACCACTAATAAGTCTCCCTTGAGCAAAGCACATTGCATGCTAGCTATTCTAGTTTAGCACAAATGTGTGTTCAAATATGGAAGATGAAAGGATGTTACTAAAAAAAAATAAACATTTGTTGTTGTTTGGAGGTATATGGAGAAGTATTGACACATTTTAAACCCTGTCTGCTTCTTTTTTTCCCAGGAGAGAGTCCTGTAATGAAGGAGAGGGTGACCCACCTCTCTATGTTAATGTGAACATGTTCAGTGGTGAGATCATGAACACCTGGATTGACTCTCTTCAGGCCTTCTTTCCTGGGCTGCAGGTCAGATCATGCACATTCAGCTACTACATGAGATCTTATATAAAAGGGTAAAAAAAAAACTGGGCTGCAGGTCAGATCATGCACATTCAGCTACTACATGAGATCTTATATAAAAGGGTAAAAAAAAAAACGTGTTGTTGTGTTCAACTGAAGTAAGTCTACTAGTCTGTCTCCTAGGTGCTGAATGGTGATGTAGATAATGCCATTTGCCTGCACGCCTTCTACTATGCCATCTGGAAGCGCTTTGGGGCTTTGCCAGAGAGATACAACTGGCAGCTGCAGGCTCCTGATGTGCTCTTCTACCCCTTAAGACCAGAGCTGGTGGAGTCAACCTATCTGCTGTACCAGGTGACAATACTGACTTGTTGTGACACAGAACTGATGGGGGCGGTTGAGGATGACTGTTATCTTTTACTCAAGAGTTTGTTTTTTTCTTCTCCTTCACTTTCGACAGGCGACCAAAAATCCTTTCTATTTGCATGTTGGAATGGATATTCTTCAGAGCCTTGAGAAAAATGCCAAAGTCAGGTGTGGATCATGTAATATATATACCTTGAGTTTTACAATGCTTTGATGTGTCTACTTTGAGCTGAGCCGGGCTTTGATATTTGCAGATGTGGGTACGCCACTCTCCACCATGTTGTGGACAAATCCAAAGAGGATCGCATGGAGAGCTTCTTCCTCAGTGAGACCTGCAAATACCTTTACCTGGTAAGTTACAACCTGAGCATGTCAGAGATAGAGCTACTTTATATATACGGATATGATAGCATGATATGAGACCATAATATGATACTAGATAAGCTGTAAAGCTTTGATTTTAATAGCAGATGTTACAATAGACTAAATGTTATCTATTCCTGCATTTAAAGACTAGAATCTAAATCTTGTTACAATGTATTCAATCAAAAATTTTATTCGATTTTGTTGGCATCACCCCAGCCATCATCAGAATAACATTCAGGCCCACGTTGGTCTCAGCTCTGTCCATACTGTCATATGAATAAAGTTTTTTCTCTTCTATTGCAGCTGTTCGATGAAGACAACCCACTTCACAAATCGGACAACAAGTACATCTTCACCACAGAGGGCCACGTCGTGCCTATAGACAAGCGCTTCAGGGAGAAGCAGTGGAATGACTTGTTTCCATGTGAGGAGGGAGCGCTGGCAGAGAGGGAACCAAACACCCGGCCACCCCCGAGCAACATCAGCAATGTAAGGCCATCATCCTTGCCCAAGCCCAACTCTCCGTTCACCATTTTCAGTGACAGATGTAACTGTGGCTAAAAACCTCTCTCTGTCATAGAGTCACTTTCTTTCTCCCTTTTCTCTCACTCTGCAGTGTAACAGGATCCCAGAGGAGCGACGGTACACTCTGCCATTAAAGAGTGTCTACATGAGGCAGATCGATCATATGGTGGGACTCTTCTGAGTAAGAGGATGCATGTGGTGACACTGGCATGAAGCAGCCTTCAGTACACCCCCGAGGTGCAGATGCAGTGAGGTTAGAAGAGATCCGCCGTTGGTAAAAATCCTGGCCCCATCGGTTCCACTGCTCAGGATCCAGACAGTAAAGTGACACTAAAGGAAACCTGAGAAAGCAGTTTAATTACTTGCTGTATTAATTAAAAGTGTCTGTGGGTGTTTTTTGCTCTTTGGTGCGCGAGCAGGTAGTCAACAAAGGCGAACAACTTTGCTGCTGGGAAACGAGGAGTCATGCTTCACTACTTTTTGACTGGTGATGAATTGAGATTGTGGATTTAGAATAACTGGTGTGTTTCTGCGAAGCAAAACGGTGTGTGTTCAGGTATGAGTGTGTATACATTGTGTGTATGTGTTGAAATTACAGCTAAGCTGTGAATCATACTATTGTGTTTATGGGAACAGTGCCATCTAGCCACACATATGTAAAATGTATAGCCTATAAAAACTCACCTCTGAAACTTTTTTCTCTGAACAAGATGATGAGTGCCTCTTCCCAGTTGATTCACTTGACTAGATCAGTGCTTTTACATAAGGGCTGCACATTAACAGATAATAACAGGTGATGACTTATGCACACACTGTAAAACTCTGCTTCTTGCGTCTTCGTCTTCTTGTACCATGTTTTAGATGGTGCCTGTTGGAACTTAGTCTTTTGTAGGCCTGAGGCTGGTTTTCCAAAATGTTGAAGCAGTTGTCATGTCTCTCTCACTCTACATAATTCCTCTTTTTCCTGAACAGGATTAACCATTTTGCAGCTACTTTAGAACTTAGCTTCTGTCTTGCTTTTGTTTTGCACATTTGTCAAGTAAAACTTAACAGGGAGTAACAGACGACATGAACCCAAACTGCTTCCTGCATGTTAGCTGTTAACACAATTTCTGACAATACAGATGAGAACTGACATGTTCATCTCTCAGGCTTCTAGTTACTCGATGTCTTACAAAAGGGCAAACAGATGTGCCATGACTATGTTTGAGAGAAGGGTTCATGATGACTCTTGCTGTTTTAAAGTGCCTTCTAATGGTCTTGGTCTTTGTGGATGCTGTACAGTGCATATTAGGTGTGGTTCACATTGTCATTGATTATTTTTTTTAAGCCACTGTTGATATTGCACAATAGGTGTCATTCCATGTGTATGTACAGTTTTACACTGATTATGACATAAAGCTCCTTTTTTTTTTTTTTTTTTTTGACAAAACAAGCCATAAAATGTATTTTAATGTTAATAAGTGAAAACCTGTTTGTTTTCCATCTTTTTTCTGTCAGAGACATATCTAGTACACAGACTCTTTTGCATAGTTTCTGGTTTATTCTTAGAGGTTGTCATTTGCTGTTTCTCTTTCACATAATTGCACATCATATCTAATAATTATCATGTGGTGAAAACTCAGGGTTTAAAGGACAAACAAAAATCAATGAATGCTTTCGTAAAAAAAAAAAAAAAAAAAAAAAAAATTAAACTTTCTTGAAATGTTGTTGCCTACAATGTCTTAGGATAGCCTTAGGTATTTATATTGCAAATGTTACAACTTGTTTATCTGAGGTTGAAGAACAACCGCACTGAACTGAAGTACAGTTGTACTGTGAATATTCATTAATGTCCCAAACGCAGAAAAGTAAATCTCTCCTTAACTTTGATGTTTGATTCATGTACGGCTCGACTGGTTCGTCTTCTATCGAACATCCTGAGTCTCTGTACAGCTCCAGCAGAGCCTTGGGCTGCGTGGCTCAATTACATCACTTCACTGGCATCTTCTTTGGCTTTGGGAGACAGCTGTTCATTTTCTCAAGTGTTGTTTCAACTGCTTCAGGCAATAGCAAATACATTTCTGAGTTTTCTAATTGGCTGACATCAACCCACCCACTTTGCCTCAGATTATAGTTCAGCATTTTGGGAAATTCACTGATTTACTTTCTTTCTGAGAGTTAGATGAGAAGACAGATAACGCTTGATACCAGTCTGTGGCTCTTCTCAGAAAAGCAGTTTGTGAGCACTGTTTGCATGCAGATTGCAAATGGTGACAAGGTCATGTTTCATAAATGTTTGTTTCTCAGAAATTGCAGATAAAAGTTTTTCAGGGCTCTTGCGTGGTATGCTCATGCTTGGATCAGAAGTTTGGTGTTACTTTTGATTTGTGAAATGTGTCATAATTTACTGGAGAGGATCTTATCCCATATTGCAAATCACAACTAGCATGTTGCATATTTTGTCGCAAGGTTATCCGCTGGAGTATTTCTTTAGTGGGTACATATTTAATGTTATATAACATGTTAATTTGTGAGCTTTAGAGGTGCTAGTAGATGGTTTTTCATATTTGGGTAGAGGGAGGCTTACTGTTCACCCCTGTTCCGGTCTTTGTGCTAAACTACGCTACCAAACTACCATACAGACATGAAAGTAATATCGATCTTCTCATCTAACTCTCGGCAAGAATGCAAATGTGTGTTTCTCTAAAAAGGATCAAACTATTCTTTTAATCTATTTAAAAAAAGAAATTAATAAATGACAAATTATGAACAAGACGTTGCTGTGTTGCTTTTTATTTGTGAAAAAATGGAAAAGTACTCAGTTTTCTACAGAAGCTTTAATAGGTTTAGTCGAGGTTTACACTTATTGGTTTCTGTACAGGATCGTTGGCTCAAAGGCCTGTAGCATCAGTTAACTTTTCGAATTTTTAAGTTGAAGTATATTACATCTACCACTCAAAAGTGTCACAGATCAACATGGTATCACCACACTTCATTTAACTGTCCAATAGGAATCAGTTTAGTTATATACAACGGCCCTTTAAACTATTGCAAAAAAAAAAAAGTTTAATTTTCTTACTTAAAAATTCAGTGAGTAACCTGCCTGAGTTGTGTCTCAAACTGCTCTGTGGTGTTTCTAGTGACAAGTTCTTTTTAAATCTCTAACAGAGGTCGAAGTGCGTTTGCAGGTGGTGAGGCCATCTTGTTTGCTTTTTTTATTTTTTTATTTTTATTTTTTTATTTTTGGCGGTATATACTGACCAGTTACTGGAGCATAGAGCGAATGCGTTAGCCTGACATCTATTCACATTAATACATGTGAGAAGAAATCACTTTATGCTGACAGAAGCTTTTGATGTGTTAACTACAGATTGCGTACCCCTCCGAAGACAAGTTCAAGAGACTCGTGAGAAAAGTTAGCTTGACTAAAGTTCAACTCATCTGAAATCTGCACAGAAGTTTCTGACTTAATCTGAGCTGTCTTCTGGTCTGAGTCTGACCTGAAGTCTTTGGTCAAAGCTACAACTTTTTTTTGAACACAACAAATTGATTTTTTTATTTCTTTGCGTTCGCCTGTTTGAGAATTGATATTTTCGGGGACAGTTTCTCATCTTGGGTCCTCAGCTTCAATTGAGGAGGGATTTGTGGAGTCTGACGGGGCGACAACAGCACCCTGTGAACAGAAAGAAATTCACACCGGTTAGCTGGTCCTAGAGTTAGTGTGAATGATCAATACTTGATCAATGATCAATACTGCAAATTTTTGCTCACCGTCATTGGGTCCCTGAGCGTGGCTCTTAGAAGAGACCACAATCTTTCAGGTTTTCTTTGATGATGATGTCGGTTACGGCATCGAACACAAACTTGACGTTTTCTGTGTCTGTGGCACAGGTCATGTGAGAGTAGATTTCTTTGACGTCTCGGCGCATGTTCAGGTCCAAAAACTGCACTTTGATGTAGTTTCCAGCATCCTCGTAGGTGTTGGGTCCTTAAAGAAGAGATGTCAAGATAAAAGGGAATATTTAATTGATTGTCAATGTCATTAAATCTGCTGTAATTTATGTACGGCGGTGACCTTACCATCGTATTCAGGGAAGCACATGCTGAGATGAGCTTTCTTGATCTTCTCAAGGAACACGTCTTTCTTGTTGAGGAAGAGTACGATGGAGGTGGTGGCGAAGTAGCGGTGGTTGCAGATACTGTTGAACAAGTGCAGACTCTCGTGCATTCGATTCTAAAGGAAAAATATAAGTTTATTCACCAAGTCACCAAGGATAAGACGTAAATTGTATAGCATATCGAGTGTGTTATACAATTGCTATCATACCACTTCATCATCCTCCACCAGCACCATGTCGTAGGCGCTCAAAGCAGCAATGAAGATGATACAGGTCACACCTTCGAAACAGTGAATCCACTTCTTCCTCTCTGACCTCTGGCCACCCACATCAAACATTCTGCATGGAAACAGAAGCGTGTTATCTTTAGGACATGCCATCGAACACAGCGGGAGCCCTGCTAATCAGTTATTGGTGCTATTCTCCGTAGAAACACAGCAGCGATTCACCTGAAATTCAGATCTTTTAAGCCGAACTGGGTCTCAATGATACCAGTGGTCTTCACTCTTGATCGCAGCACATCCTGCTCGGTGGGCACGTACCCTGGCTGGACCAGTCGCTCCAAGTCATTCAGGTAGCTGAGGATAATAAATGACATTCATTCAAAAACAAACACTATGAGACTGTGAAACAATTCTAAATCTCAGCTTGGGTGATTTCTTACTATCCAGCGGAGTCGTTGAGTTGGTACTCTGAGGCCCTGTCGAAGCACGCCTGAATGCCAGAGTCCTTCCACAGGCGCAAAATGATGTCTGACAGCTCTTTAGGCATGGTGCCTTCCTCAATGGTGTCTGCAAGGTGCATGAGTTTCCTGGCATCGTCCTACAGTGTGAATGCAAGAAGACAAAGACACATACAAGTTACAGTGTGCTCGGTCATTTGCAAATATGAGGAAGTATATCTCAGCTGTCATTACCTGCTGATCAGGGTGGCCAAAGTTAATATTGAGTGTGGTCATGGCCTTCACGATGGCCATGATGGACTGAAGGGTGTTGCTGTAGATGATGGTAATGAACTCCAAGCACTCTTCAAGTGAGTAACCATCTTTGTGGATAATTCTGTCGAGAAAATATAGTTTTATCATGTTATTTACTTTCAGCATGATAAGAAAACGGACATTTATTCAGCGGAAAGTCAAAGTTCTTACTTCATCTGTTTGACGATTGTGCTTTTGCCTGATTCTCCAGCACCTATATGAAAGAAAACACTAAATGTAGTCACTCGCATCGAATAATCAACTACACTTTAAAAATCTTTTCACATTTTCTTCTTCTTAACCATTGTTTTTGTGTTTTGTCTTTCGTTCACATCTCATGGTATTCATCAGACAGTAAGATCCCAACATGTCACAACACCTCCTACTTCAGATTTAATCTCGTTCAAACCTGATGTCTGGGGGAACTTTTTCTGGTCCCTGACCTACATTATCACGAAGGGATGAAGCTGAGTTTCAAACACTATCAGTAACAAGCTGGCGGCTTTTCAGAACAGCATATCGAACTGCAACAATACACGGTAAGCTTGTATTTGACAGTGTTTTTAAATACAATAAACACATTTTTCGTGAACAGAATTTACTTGAAAAAAAAACTAAATCTCCTAAATTAACAAATCTTACTCATTTCTCTCATCACTCATACAAAAACCCACCGCTTTCAATCTATGTGGGTTTGGCATTTGAATGCTACAGCTACTGACCCTTCTATAATTCTGGATTGGGCAGTAGAGTATCTGTGTCCTTCAGGGTTAAGCTCTTTGTGTTGGAGGACTTGTTTTAGGATTAACTAGGGATTGGGTTGAGTGATTATTAAAGTGTCTTAGCAATTCAATGACACAGGTTATTAAGCCTTTACTTGACTCAAACATACAGTGTGTCTGCATGACAGCCTGTGGAAATGCACTGGCTCTACAGATTAGTCATTTTTTAAAGATTTTTATACTAATTGCCCACAGATTTTTCTAATCATTTTATACTAACAACAACTAGTATTTGTGTTGAGTATTTATAAGTATGGAAAAGTGTATGAAAAATGAAAAGAGAGACAAACTGATTAATATTACTACAAGGGATACATGTTGTTATGGATGTTTTATCTTCTCATCCCCAACATTTTAACAAGAGTAATACCACACTTACTGTACAGTTGAACAGCTTGGTTAACTATATCTTATACTTCAAATAAAAAGTAGCTTCATTCCCACTATGGGGCCTTTCGGGGCCCTTAAATATGTGTAACCACATGTTGAGGTTTGCTGTTGAGCCACCGAGCCAGCCTGACTGTCTTTACCTAGCAGCAGCAGCTTGACAGTTCTTGCATCCTTGTCGGCATCCTCCTTCAGCTTTTTCTCCAGCTCCTTGGAGCGTTTCTCCTCGGCGCTCGCTCCAGCCCCCATCTTAGTTTTCCCGGCTCGGGCCCCTCTGCTCAAAAAGCCAAATGTCAGGAAAAATGGAAGTAGGTCCCAGCTGATCACCTACTGCCCGACCGGTGCCGTCAACTATGCAGCTGATGCGTCAACCGCCTGCAGCAAACACTGGAGGATGATGGAGTATTTTCCTGTCTTAGGAAAGGATTTTGGGCATCTTTTCCCCACCTGACCGGAGATGACCAATGGAGCACAAGGACAGGGGTGTTTTAGGGCAGAGCGAAAGGTGTGAGGAGAAGCAGAGATACATCAGTGTAGGAGTGATCTAACCTTTAGGGGGACTTTGCTGTGCTCAGCGGAAGATGAGAACATCGGCTCAAGTGCTTATCTCTCTATGCTGTTCTTAGGTGCCTTTAAAAGAGAAGAATATTTAGCTCAGTAGTTTGGTGTTTGTGCTCATCTGGGAACTTAGTTACCCACACATTCATCCCATATCAGCACCAAAATAAAAATGTAATCTGATGTTGGAATAAGTGGTGGTTTTATATGTTTGGAGTTTCCGAGGGGACGGTTGAGGGGGGTGGGGCCAACACCTTTTCAGTCTGTATTAAAACAAAATAATCAGTCTCTACACGATATACAATCTCAGCCCATGTGGTTAATGTAATACACAATCAGAGCCTCACCTCTCAGTGCAAACACAAAGAAAGACAAACTGACATTTCTTATGAGGTTCTGCAGACTGAAGGGTGAGCTTTGAAGTACTTACAGGGCTTTGCAGTTTCACCTGACAGATCTCATTGACCTCAATCTGAAGCTAGTTAGGGATCCTAATCTACTCACTTTCAATTATATTTGCATGCATGCACAGTATGTCTGTGTGTGTATGTCTCTGGGTGTGTGTGTGTGTGTGTGTGTGTGTGTGTGTGTGTGTGTGTGTGTGTGAGAGAGAGAGAGAGAGAGAGCGCGCATTGAACTGCATTTTCCTACACACACAATAACTTTGTGTTTTCTTTTTATCAGTATTTATGTCATATAACACTTGTGTTTAGAAAAGTGAACTGTACATAAAGTTTATTATCACTTGAACTCCGTCATGTTCTGTGAGGAGTATAAGAGTGATGAAGCTCCTGAGTCATAACTGTGAATGAAAACAGCTGCAGATCAGCAGCGGTGGAACCTAACTTTGTGCGTTTACTCAAGTTAAATCTGAAGCTACTTGTACTTTCCTCTTATGCCGCTTTATACTTCAACTCTACATTTCAGAAGGAATTACTCTAACATTGTACGGTCCTGACCTTACTCTGTGAAGTTTCCTGAGATAATATAGGTTATGATTTGGCACTACTGAAGGGAATTGAAATATTGTACTGTTTTCTCCACTACATTTATCTGTCAGCTATTGAGACTAGATTTTACATATAACACATATGGTGAACTAAAAAAAAAAAGAGGTAATAATAATAATGATATAAAATGTAATAAGGCTGTCGATATACCAGTATAGATGATAACCATATTTTGAAAATGAAATATTGATATGTTAATAATACAATACTTGTGGATCCTTTCTTTATCACTTCATCTGGTTGTCTTTTCACTAGAGTTATGGCTACAGACTATCTCTCCACCTCCATCCATCTATATCTACATCCATCCATCATCCATATTTGAGTCCAATTCACTTAAAAAAAACAAAACAAAACGCACAATAAACAAAGTTAAAGATGATTTTTGCATTATTGTTAATGTTATTATTATTATTATTATATATCGCAAGTTCTTTTTGTCATGACAATTGTGTACTTAATGTAACAGTAAATCATTCACACTAGTGTAGTACTTTTACTGCAGTTGGAGTACTTCACAGTGTGGTATTACTACTAAGTAAAGGATCTGAATGCATCACAACACAACAAGCACTGAAATCGATGCATTACAATACATAGACACAACAAATCTTGCAGACTGTGTGCCCACCATTGTCAAACAGAAGAGAACGTGTGTTATTATAAAATATAGAGCTTTAATTTATTAGTCGGCAACATTGATGAGGAAGAAAAGATAGAAGTAATTTTTTTACAAGTCATTACAATAACATCAACTGTGCATTATATCATACATTACTTTACCTCAATGACCCAGAGCAAAGTCCGCCAGACAGAGAAAATAAAATAGATGCACATGTTTGAAATATATGCAAATTATTTTTGCACATTTCTGAAAACAGGAGAGAGGGGAGAGAGAAAAAAAGACTAAGAGACATACAGAGAGAGAGAGAGAGAGAGAGAGAGAGAGGGAGAGAGAGAGAGAGAGAGTGAGGATTTAAAATCACACTCTGACCTTTCTGTACCTTCAGTATTTCACACCATTAAAAAGGTGTGAGCACATCTTTCTTGCACTGATAGTATTTCCATATTCCCACAACGAGAAAGACATTCACTGACATCCACAGCAACGTAGCATTTTAGACAAATACCATATACATACACTGTACATGCCATGCACAATGAGAAGCCACCTTCTGAAGATTGTGGTACAGGTTTCTCTTCAGGTTGGGGCGGTGATCAGCTTGTTAGTGGTTGTACTTGTGACATTTTTTTGTCTTTTTCTTTTTTTTTTTTCTTTTTTTTTTTTTTTTTACTGTATGGAAGCTCCTCAGTACAAACAGTTTTATATGAAGTCTGTGGCATGGTTGATAGCAGGATGGCACTGCACTAGACTGAAAGCTCTGTTGTGAACCAGCTGATAACAGTTAACACAGCACCAATAAAACAGGCCAGTCCTCAAGCACTGAAAAACAACACATTTGTCACTGTAATCTAACTGAAGTTTAGACTGCTTATGTGGCCAAACACAATATTCACTTTGTGAAACCAATATTTAGCATAAAACTGGTAGGAATGCAAACTTTGGATTCATTTAGAGCTAAAAAAAAAAAAAAAAAAATCCTTTGAGCATACAAACTGCATGCTCTCTCTTATATGAATATACTGCAAAATATGCCACAGATACATGTGAAGTATTTAGTGTTTATCATGATCACCAATTTGGCAACAGAAGGTGCTTTGTCTCTAATAGTTTTTATCACAAACTGTCACAAACTCACATATAGCTGCCTGCTGGAATTTCTTATCTCTGAAGAGAGAAAAGAGAAGGCAATGTTATATTTTCAGCTTTTGTGTCATTAAAAGACCCTTTCCCCCAAATAAAACAGCTTATCACAAAGATCACGTTTGTTAAGGATACAACATTGAGATGTGATATTCACATATAAACAAAAACAAACACTTGGCAGCAACTGATTTTGGAAGAATTTGGGACGAGGGATGTAACATCATTACTCGAGGCCAGGCTGGACCACATCGGTAAAAGGAGAGAGACGTCACAGAGGCTTTTCATTCACATGTGACTGTATGACCGTAACAAGTTGTCACAGCTGCAGTCTGTGGGCATTTCTTCTATCCATGAATGTCCCATGAAATGCCCTCATCTTTTCATCAAAAAGCTTGTATCTCGCAGTAAAAAACAAAAAAAAACAAACAAAAAAACACTGTCCGATATACAGTAGAGTTCTGGTGAAGGAGTTTAGGGAAGCTTGAGCGACTTCCTGACTCGACCTCCAGCTTAGACACTGAATACTGCCAGCAGTCATGTGATCCAACATGGTCGCCTATAACAGTTTCTGAATACATGTCCATCGGTCCTTGTCCATGTGTGGATACTTCCAATGTCCTGGGTTATTGTTGCTGTTTCTCAAAAACACCAAACATAAAGATATTCTCAACATAATAACACATTGTAATAAACAAATAACACTAACAATAATATTATAATAACAACAATATTTGCACGATTTACCTATTCACAAAAAACATGTTTCCTAGATAGGTACAAAGAATTACTTTTTACAACCTACAATAAATATTGTGTACTTTTTTTAACAGTTACATAGAAACTGTTTGATGTTGTTGCTTTTGGTTGCAGTGTCTGTCTTGTCCATTACGATAATTAGATTTTTCTATCATTTGACTGGAGTCATTCCCCTAAATGGAGGGTTGCAGTGTTTAGGAGGTTGTGTGAACAGGTAGACAGGAGGGGATGTTTGAGGATGATGGGGTGTGTGTCAAGCTTCTCATGTCTCAGCTGGAGTTGTTTGCTCATCATGATGCCGACGGTTGCGAGGCTTCTTCTGTTCCTTCAGCTCCTTCAGGCTTTTGGCTTTGTTGTCCCCGAGGTTGCCCTCTCCGAGCTGCCAGTAATCCTGGCAGTACTGGTTGATCAGGCCCATCTCCGGCTGACTCAGAATGGTCAGCAGGTCCTTATACTGGCCGGCGCTCGGAGTCCAGGCGCTGGACTGGAGCGGAGGCAGGGCCGGGCTGCCCGTCTCCACCAACACGTTGTTGACTGTGCGGCTGGAAAGGACCACGAGCTGCAGTTTGACCAGTGTGTGTTTGAAGTTCTTCTCTGTGGACGTGCACTGGTAGATGCCGCTGTCAGAGGACTGCAGCGAGCGGATCAGGAGGCCTTGTTCTGTTTTCAGGATGCGGCCCTCTGAGCGGATCTTGAAAGAGCAGGAAGACAGCAAAGAGGACAGTTTGAAAAACTTAACAAAAGCCAAAACACCGAAACCTATTCAATGTACGTGTTCACAAAGTGAACAACTGACAGCTAACTGCTTCACAGTGAAAGTTTTGCTCACCTCTTTCCTCCTGTCGCTGTTTTCCTTCTGCAGGTGCCACTTCAGAGACACATGAGGAGACCTGGCCTGGCACTCCAGAAATGTAGTGCTTCCCTCCACCCCATACTGCACTGCCTCCAGAGTATTCTTGTTTGCTATAAAACAATATGCAAATATATTTTATGTAGTATTTCTGAGAGAATATATAAAATATGTGAAGAAGACAGATAGAGGTAGGGAAGAAACAAATAAGAACAACAAGCCAATAAATAATAGACAAAATGGACACTCACCATTGGAATTATAACCTCTGCATTGGCGGATTGGGTTGCCGTACTTTACATCCTGTCGACGGCTCCGTCTAGAGGGGTCAGATCAACATACGAAAATAAAAAGCTTAACTTCCACATATTTTAAAAATGTCACATGTGCTAAAAACAATGCGCAGGACAGAGACATTTCCTATGCCAAACACAATTTCCTATGCACTGTACCAAGGTGCGCCTGCCTGTCTACACTATCTTGATCCTCACCTCTTCTGTGAGGCTGAGTATCTTGAGCAGGATTTGCCGTCCCAGGCGCAGTACGGGTCTCTGGCCAGACAGCAGTCAGCGCAGGCCTCCCCGTACACATCACAGCGATGGAGAGCCAGGTGGGTCACGCCCAAGACTGACCCTACGTACAGTTGTTGCTATAGTGAAACACATGTAAAGGTCAGGATATAAAAACAGAAATCAGATGCACACTGACTCTATATATTGTCTATAATGTGACTGTTTTGGTGTAATTTATGAATACTTCTTAGTTGAATTATTGATCCAAGCAGTTTCCAGGTAACTTACCCGTTTGGATGAAATCTTCATGGTGGTAATTGGTGTGGGAACCTGCAGGGATACAGTTAAAAACAGCTTTAAATAAGCGGACAGTGAATATCAAAAATGTCAAAAAGAAAATCATTATTATCTCAGGCAACAAATAGAATACACTTACACAGAGAATGGGACAGACGGAGGGGGAGAAAAAACAGAATAAGATGGGGTGACTGACCTTGAAGACCTCCACTTCCTCTAAGACCAGCTCCTCTGTCTGCAAGTCGTCTCTAGGCAGGACTATCACTTTCTGGACCGTCCCCCGATCTGTAAAACAGAAGCGAGACGCACGTTTAACTCGCTTACCCCATGAAATATCTTAATATTTATAAAATCAATATTTCAAACTGAGAATAGCTTTGAGGGATCCCACAGTCTGACCCATCTATGTTAAAGAGGGAAAGACACATCCTCGACTTGTGCGTGAACCTCAACATACAGATCCAACACTAGAGGATTTATACATAATATAATTTTAAAACTACACAATGATATGACTGCTGGATTACTGGACAGTCATCCCATAATGTCACTGACCTGTTCCCAGGAAGAGCACCTCGTAGCTCCCGTCAGCAGCTGTCACTTGGTCCACGGCAATTGTGGTGAACTCATAGTCCACGTTGGTTCTGACCACCAGGGGGCGCTTGTGCACCGGGTATACAGGATTGTACATGGTGGGGTGGTTTCTCATGAAGTTGATAACCTCATCTGGGTAATCCTTTGTGGATTTCATGTTGGGGGTGAAAGTGCCTCCAGGACACTACAGACAATAAAGAAGTGAAACTGTCAAACCTGCAATTTACCAATTTACCTTTTGCAGTAAAAACTTGTTCTTGTAAAAATGATGACAGAGAATTTTCTTTATGATGTGAGAAAGGGTGTATTCATCATTTTTTATTGTTTATAACTCACAGTGCCAGGTCGTGGGTAGGGAATCTTCCCAGTGTATGCCACCCACTGGTAGTTGGGCCCTTCCTTGTGGGCAAAAGGCCCATTGAAGACCATACGGATGTCAGCCATGGAGTAAACGCACACTGCCGAGCCTTTAAAGACGGATCTGGAGGAGGGCAGGAGAAAAAGGGTGAGCACAGAGAGACAGCAGCGAGTGGATACAGATTAACTCACTCCCTGAGATAATTACTGTGGGCGCTCTCTGCGGCTGGTAGAATCTACTTCCTTCCCACGTACTCAGCCGGCCTCTTACAGGAACGCACCGAAACATTATGACGCACAAACACACTCTCAAACCAACTCAACTAGAGTCAAGCTGTCTGATACACTGACATACAAACACCCACGTACTGCAGAGAATCGCCAGAGCTCAGGCTCTCGCTGCTGTGTGGTGGGTGTACTATGTTTGTAACTCCTGTCATGGGCCTCTATCATTAGCACCACATGTTTTTATCTGCTGGGTTTAAAATGTGAGTGATGCCTGAGGACAGGATGGAAACAATACCAGTATTTGTTTCTCAAATACATTAATCAAGACATGTTTATTATGACTCAGTGCGCACCTCTCCCCGCTTGTGCGCAGTCAGAATTTCAATTTACATGTCTGCTTGTTTGCCTTGAATTTTAATGCTATGTGTTGAATGACAACTTACTATAAAACCTGACCTATGAGGAACTACAGGCTCAGTCAGTCTCTCAGAGGAGCGCGACTCCCTCTGGGCTCCAGATTCACTTTCTGTCTTGTCTTTGTAGCCTGAATCTGACAGGGCCATGCATGCGCAACACAGCATTTCAATATCAGAGAGAGCTGACACCTTCAGGCTGAGCGGAAAAGAATAAAAACTGCAGGAGGAAACCAAATTACACCTTTCCTCCAAAACTGCATGAAAGTTAAGAGAGTTTGAGAAAGCTGTCAGTCACTCACCCGGAAACTGAGAAGACTCCGTAGATGACAGGATTCTTGGTGTCTTGAGTTGGCTGGATGTAGACGTCCCCTAGAAGAAAATAAAAGAATTTATAGTCACAGCAATAAACCGGGAAAAGCAGCAGTGGAAGAAGTATTCAGATCCTTTACTTAAATAAAAGTACCAATAAAACAATTTAAATATAGTCATTAAAAAGAAAAAGTCTGGTATTCCAAATTTTACTTAAATGAAAGTAAGTAAGTATTATCCGCAAAATGTGTCGTTCGAAAAGCTCGTTCATACGTTTGAGCATTTTACTGTTGTGGCCGGTTGGAGCTAGTTTGAACAACTTTGTATAAAGTTAGATCATTTAGTCCCTGACCAGGGTGTTCCCCACCCTCGCCCAATGTCAGCCGGGATTGGCTCCAGCCCCCCAGCGACCCTACAAGGATAAGCGGTATAGATAATGGATGGATGGATGGATGGATAGTCCAAAGGGTCACAACATAAATCTGACATTCATGTTGCAGGAAAGATGAAAAGTTCTGCCGCACAAAAATGTTCATATAACTTTTCTCTGATCTTCGCTTTCTTGGGAAATAAAATTGAGAATTTTACATCTTTGGCCTTCAAACAGTTAAGTGAAACCATGTGAGAAGTTAAGAGGAGAAATCCAGAGACACCTGACACACATGACAAGAGAAACACCGCTTTTTTGTAAGGAGTCCCAAGAAAAGCAGGTTGAGAGCCACTGGTTTAATTCTTACAAACGCTTTAACAAGTGTGTGTTTGTATGTAAAATCTCAATCTGCGTAGTAGCTGCAGCTGTCAGATGAATGTAGTTGAGTAAAAAGTGGAGTATTTGCCTCTGGTTAGTGGAAAAGAAGTATACTACAAAATAGAAATATGTACAAGTACCTCAAAACTGTACTTGAGTGAATATATTAAATATAATAAGAGGGCAACTTTTCCTCAGAAGCACAATAACGATCACATGATGAGTGGTCAGTGAAAGAAAAGTAAATATTAATGTCTGCGTCTCGTATCAAAGTCTTTATTAGTTCGCAGATTCCACCTGGTTCCGACCCAAAGCAACTGTAATTGTGACATATAGAGATGTTATTGTGCTTCCTACGAGGGGGGGGGGGGGTTAAGGGAGAGTTTCCTCGCGAATTGTGGTTACCAGAGCCTCAATGAGATCTTGAACCCAAACTCTTCCGCAGCTGAAACTACCCTGTCTCAGCGGGGAATATAAGTGAAATAGAGATCTCTGGTGAAACATGGCTTTAATAGGAGCCATATGCATCTGATGACTGTAGGGGTTGAGGCAGTTGTGAACCCTGCATATCCTCTGATGGCTTAATGAGAGAAAAGTGCAAGGAAAAACAATGAGGAAGAAAACTGAAATAAATTTTGAGTAGACAGGTTGAGTAGAATAACACCTCACCCTCAGTTCAACACGTAGGTCCATTTATATCTTTGCATCAGTGGGAAACTAGTGAAGTGAGCTCAGACCACTTGTCTCAAATGGCCTTGAACAGTTAGGACAACAATTATCAATAGTCAAAAGGTCCTTGGAAAAATAACAATTACAATGAACAGGCATGGAATCCTATCCTCTGCTTTATAACCTGAGGTCTTTTTCATGGTTATCTGTCAAGCTCTTAATCTGACACACCACAGTAAGAATGCAGAGCCGCCCTCTCATATTTATCTCTCAGATATCACCTGAATGAACTTGAGAAGAAGAAAAAGAACTAAATGCGAAGCCACAATCATGCCCTTGGAACTGACGGTGAAATGTTGATCCTTGTGCCCTTGGCGTTATCAAGTGCGCACAAAATAAACAGGGAGGAGGCTTAAATTGACATGGTTTATTTAAAAACATCATTTCTGACTCTGCAAAGCTGCAAAATCCACAAACTCCCTTTTGATCAGGAGTTTTAAATCTCTTCAGAAAAAAAAAAAAAAATCTCCCTACATGCCAAAGTACAAACATGACAGGTAATGGCTGCACACTAAAGCAAAAATTAACTTTTGGCAAACAAAGTAGAAATTCATAACCCATCTGACGCCAGTTTGACAGACCTCCTGGCTACAGAGTGAGCGCAGTGAAAGAGAAAAGAAATAAATCAGGCGAGAACTGGAACAAGTTGCGTCACAGCAACTTTTGTTTCTGATGTGTCAGATCAGACGGAGTCTGTGAAGCTCTCGCAGCGTCACATTAGCAGAGAAACATCTCTGAACACAAAGACTGGGGATAAGTAAGGTGCTGTGAAAAGTAAAAACAAAAGAGAGGGTGAAAGATGTGAATAATCGCGGGATGGAAGGAAGGACTGTCAAGCTCTCTAAGAGATGTGCACCGAAAATATTCTGTTGAAATGTCCACTTGGAATAATTACAGAGAAAAAAAAAAACAAACAAAAACCAACAACAAACTTCTTCATAAAGAATGAAAGGGTTTTGGGAATTGTGGGCTACAATGACATAAAAAAATAACTCAATGAAAAAACAACGTTTCACGGCGTAATTACATTTCAGAAAAGGCAATAAAACTTTATTGCCCACACATTGGTTCTCGTTTTTGTCTGGCAGACATTTTCATCTCTCTCGCGTCTCTGTGTCTCTTTCCCCTCTGTCTTTACAATCCTCCTCTCCCTGGGTAAAACACTGAATGCTTTTTCCTCTGTTAGCCTCGGCTCAGCTTCACCATGCGAATGCACTCCGCTCTCTCCCACGAGTCCTCATGCAACCACTCTGATGCCTCTGCTGGTGCCTCCATCGGGACCACAGCAGGACTGGAGACAGAATACATTTCTAGCAGACTGTCTGTGGTTGTGGGAAGGGCGACCACAGAGCTGTGGGATGTCACACCGCACCTCAGGACTCACAGTGACCTCACCGCGAGCGCTCATCCGCACTGAGACAACAGATGACCTGCTGCGATGTGTGCAGACTCAAAGTGCAGCAGCTCTGAGCGCTCCTCTGTCACTGACACTGAGTGCTCTTGATGCAAAACATACATTTGCAACCTACAAAGCCGAATCATAGTAGAAATAAGAGGTGTTGTCATACTTTCACCTCACAGCTGTGTTTGATGCACAATTACCGGGTGAATTATTTAATACAATCACAATAAATGGACAAGATCTGAATGTAAACAATTATAATTATAAAAAGAAACGTGTGCGTATGTTGCTGACCTTCGTCTGTACTGAAGATTTGAGGTAATAAAAGCGTCTGATCAGTCTGCCTTTGTCTGCATTAGTTCTTTGAGTGTGGTTTGCTGTGTCAGGGTCCTGTATACACAGTAAGCCCCATGTTTCATTTCATTATGTTAATTTTGGCTCATTTTAAGATAATTATAGTCTCATAAAAACAGCTACAAATCGTAGTTACAGTGTAGTTCAAATTCTCTTTTTTTCCCCATTTTGTGGCATGAAATGTAAACTGGTAGTGTTGGACTCGTTTAATGCAAACTATTTAGTTTTGTGACATCTGTCAGCTCAACCACTTCCCTCTCCACACTCTCCCCATACAGAAGGGTTAGTCTTTTTTTCTCATTTGATTTTAATGTTATTTCTTTTTAAAAAGAAGACTTAAAACTTGATAGATAATTAATTTTGAAGTATCATGAAAATGTGTGTGAATTTGAGTTTTTAATTCCTAGTGAGAGCACATTTTTTTCCCTCAAATTCAGCAAAAAAACAAGGGGAAAAGTAGTGAAAGATCTGCTGCTCATACCACCAGTCACTATAATTTCAAGGATACTACAAATCCCTCCTTAATCCTGTCAGTCATGTGAGTGATGGACAGGCTGCGAAGATCCACAGGGGGTCAGACTGATCCCGGCTGCTCATTACTTTGATTGTGTGTGTGTGTGTGTGTGTGTGTGTGTGTACTTGCTTTTCTGTCTCTTGCTTTAAAAAAAAAAAAAAAAAAAAGATTCTCTGTAAAACATGTTGATGGTGCTCGAAAGCAGAACGATCACAGTCTTACTTTAAGGACAGCACCTTTCTGGGATGGTGCCTACTGTACAAGAGCCATGTTAATGTTCAAAGGAATACACATGTCAAGATTAACATGTATGAGTCAGTGATACCTTAATCTAAAGCCGCAGCTTCCTTGGGTTTCTTCCCAGTATTGCTGTACATAAGCAGAGACGTGCTCAATGCTGGTTTGCTGGGTGTGTGTCCCTACAGCACAGTAAGCTGTTGGCCTACACACGGCAGCAAAATCTAATGTGGATTAACATCATGGTGAAAGTATGCAAAGCAAATGTGAAGAGAACTCTGCAAATGAGAAAGTTGTTGATACAGAATCTGTCAACAAGACGTCCATCTGGAGATCCTTGTTTTACATTGTCGTGGTTACACGGTCATGTAAGAATTCTCACTTTCCCTCTGCCAAGTTTTTTGTCAGGGCACAGACGTATTCATTATGTGCATATTACTAACTCCAAGCAGATGTATTATATGCTGCCTGAGTTGTATAGATCGATCACATTAAGTGGTTGCAATTTGTCTCTTGTGAGAAAAAGTTTAAAAACGTGCCAACTTTTAGATTATAAATGCTGACTGGAGCGTAAATGGACAAAAAGGCGGACGCACGTGGCGACGGGTTGGGGTGCATAATGCCCAGAGATGAAAGCAAGCATCAGAGATCCTCTGATAGGGTCAGGTATGGAGAGAGAACTTTAAAAGAGGGAAACAATGATTCAAACTCACTTAGTTCATCAAAGTGTGTCTCGATGCCGTCGGCTCCAGGCACAGAGCAGATGAGTCGAGCCTTCAGAAACGTGCTCCACTTGTTGACCAGACAGCAGTGCCCGCCGTCGTCATTCTGTAAGGCAGAGACACACAGTAGTCATCCATCCGCCTCAGCGGGAAGAGTCCGTCCAACGTCTGACTAACAGCTGTTTAAAACAACCGTCCAAACTAACTGCACTGGGTCTGTTGTTATTGGACCTCTATGACTAAAGATCAGCTCTGTGTTTCAGCTTGGCCCATCTGCACGAGAGGTCAGCCAACATCTACTACTGAGGTAGAGATTCAAGCCTTGGGAAAATGATTCATGGGCTGGAACTCAACAGACATTACACAGTCCAAAAGATTTGCATGGGTGGAAGAAATACATTTTGGGTCTATCTTTATCTACTGTAACATAGAATAGGGAAGAAATCTGTTTTTAAAATGTATTGTGGTCTTTGGTAGAAGGGTTGCATGTTTTCTCTTCCAGACTCAGAGATGTTTTGTTTTACTCTTAATAGCCATGCAAGCGGCGTGGCTTTAGGGAGGGCAATGTCAGTTGGTCGGTTCACTGGACTTTGGTCCAGACTGTCGAAACATTTTAGGATTAACATGAAATTTTCGTTCAGACGTTCGTGGTCCCTAGAGGATGAAGCCTACTGTCTCTGACTTTTCATGTAGCTCCACCAGCGGGTTGACATTTAAGTTCAGAATGAACTATCTTATCAGGGCTGCCATGAAATATGTGACAGATATTCAAGCTCCCAAGAGAATTAATTTTAATGACTTTGTTGATCCATCACCAGCAGGTCAAAAGTTTTCCTTATTCAGTGACATAGTATCTCATCTAATTTGGATTGGCACCAGATTTTGGACAGATGTTCGTGGTTATGTAATAACTCGACAACTTTGAGACTTTGAGATTTAGTAGAGAGTAGAGATATTCATGGTCTTCAGAGGGTGACTTGCAAAAAACTTTGATCTAACATTATACTTTGTATTCTGTGCAAATTCATAATGTTAGCACGCTAACAGGCTTGCATTGTCATTATATGCATGTTAGCATGCTGATGTAAGCATTTAGCTCAAAGCACTGCTGTGCCTAAATACAGCCTCACAGAGCTGCTCGCATGACTGAAGACTCTTTGCTTTGTTTAATAGCCTATATTTCTTGTAAATTACATTCTTTAGGGATACATTTAGCAAACACAAGAGCATCTTGAGAGACATTTTTCTGAAGTCCATGTAGAGATGATTTGAAAGTTTTGGACACCATGTCATTATTCGTCTGTCTTTGGTGAAAAACAGCACTCCAAGCCACAGCAATACATCACTAAGTAAACAAGGTTCTGGCTTTGTATGTATGTCAGTGCATGTATACAGATGCGGACTAAAGTAAACTCTGCCGCTCAAACATTTCATTCAGAGGAACAAAAATAACAGAACGCTTCACAAAGCTAACTGTTGAGGCAAACAGCAGATATTTTGCTTTCTAACTGGTAGTTGGTGTGTGTCACGTTTTTGTGCTCAGCAATTACTGGTGATCATGGGGGACTTTCTTTCTGGTTCTCTAAGAGATGAAGAAACAGGCAACAGGCTGTAACTAACCATTATGGAGACATTTAAACCTTTCACTGGTGACGATCAACATGAGATTTGCTGACTGGTTGCGATAACTCACCAGGCAGATCCGCCCTATCCTGGACTGGGTCATGGGACTCTGGCCCATCTCGGAGGCTTTCTCGCGGAAGAAAAAGTAGAGCTTGTCATCATTCTTCTCGGCACTGTCTGGGATGAGGTGTGCATGGACGAATGTGGGATCTGAAGAAAAGAAAGAAAGACGGAGAGAGCATTACTGGCTGTGCAGCACATGCAGCACAGACTTCTAGAGCATCTGCTTGGGGCATAGGCTTTGGTTGAAATATTAACTACAATTTATAGCAATATACATCTGACTGTGCTTAAGAAAGGAATAACCATATCCATCCAGGAAGAAGAAAAAATTTAATTTAAAGAAATATAATATAAGAGTTAATGCTCTGTGCATATCATCCTTCATCCTTTTTTCACATGCCCATATGCACACTGAAACACGTTCCGGTAGCTGTAATCACTCCTTCCGTCCATACTGACTGTGAGGACCTGAAGTTAAGCTGAAGCTAACATGCGGCTTCAACAGTCTGAATTAAGACAAATCAAGTGGATATCTTCCAAAGTTACAGTCTATTTAGTTTAAAATGCCTTTGCATTTCTCTGGACAGCGTTTCTTTGCTGAGCTGAGGTGGAGGAATATTAACACAAACAGGGAATTTTGCATACTGTAAATTTGGAAGATACATACTCAATCTTTAACTAAACTATATATATATTTTTGGACAAAACAACTGTGGACCTGACTGTGGATCTTGTCTTACATCACTTAGTGCCAGGGAGGGATCTCTCGATAGTCAGTATGAACAGCAAGTAAAAACTGTCAATGTAAATATGACTACCTGAATATTGTTTTTTAAGACAAACATGAAAAATATGAACCTGTCCTTTAACTGTCGATGAACGAGTAGACCCGGAAAAAAAAAAACACTTTGAAATGGATTACATAGCAGGGGAACTCACATCGATGGAAACATCAATGCACATAGTGCATCTTTGCCTCTCGGGGCCTAACGCCCTCAGAAACTTGACGTGATGACAGTGAACATGTCACAGTGTGTATGACTTCAGTCTGCAAGTCTAAAGGATGAAGATTTGGATTCAGCCACAGGCATCATAGAAACTCTGACAAAGAGACTGTTAGCCTCGAGCCTGGAACAGTGCTCTAATTGTTCTCCTGTAAACGCACCCCTTAATTTCTTCCTAGTGACAACGCTCAATATGGCATCACAGTGCGCTCCCACTGGCTGACTTACTGGGTCACCACTGGACACACAGGGTGCCCCTCCCCACTGTGACCAATCAGGGACCCAAATGGGGACAAACCAAAACCAAGAGGAGGAGGAGGAGAAGGAGGGAGGGTAGCCAGAAACCATGTAATGGGGGGGAGGGGGAAACATCCGAGAGATTCCACATGGCTGATTAGCAGGACTCAGGTGTCCCGATTCTGTGTACCACTACCAGGGGACTGTTGTCAGGGCAACAGGGTCAGAGGAAAATCTGGGAGCCAGCAAACCTTTTTTTTGGGTGGGGGAATGGGTGGGGGGTGGGTGGGAGTGATTGATTCGGCAACATCAACCAAAAGCAACCGACGAGCATTTATAGTGCTGTGACAATCATGGTTCACTGGAGAGCAGAGGCTAGTCTGAGTCATTATTGACATTCAGTAATTTCCCCCTGCTACTAAACTACTGACCTTGCCTTCAGACTCCACAGGCATGCAATCAGCAATTAGCGCAGTGCATTTTATACTTCGAGTCAAATGATCAGTGGGTCATGTGGAGCCGGCTGGAAAGATCAACAATCTCATTCCACGAAGACCCTAGGAATGGACGATACGCTGGGTAATGTGTGGAGGCTGCATGTGGTGGATGTTTCCTGAGACATTAAAGCAAACGTTCTTAAGGAGCTGAGGAATAAATTAAAAATGATCTGGAGAGAGGTGAGTGAGTGAGTGAAAGAAATAATGCTGGGTGCAGACCAAGCCGTGAGTTGAGCCATTACCGTTTAACCATCTGGAGTTGTACTGATCAGTCCTCATGGCTGTCTGCTTCCCCAGCGTACGAAAGATAGCAGAGTCTGTTCCCATGAAATCAATGTAGACTCCTGCATACAGCTCTCCATCTGTCAGTCACAGAGAAAAGAAGGAAAGGTGTTGCAGAGGTGAAGTCATGTCGGATGAAAACCATTTCATGGTTAAATTAGAGAACATGTTGTCGACCGAGTCTGATTGAAAGGTTATTAAAACGTTGCGTCACCCCTCTAGGTTTCCTCAAAATCAGACTGATGGCACGAACAGTGGCTGCGGCCATTCAAAGTTTTAACTCCACATGATGACAGGACAGATATACATGATACTTCAAACTCTCATCAAACACGGTTCAGTTGTGTCAGAAATGGCACATTTGGGTTAAAAAGGGTGACCTCATAATTACACTGTAATCATACTTATATCACACTCATTAGGTCAATCAGTGTAATTTGAAAGGACAGCTGGATTTCCACAGCCAATTTCATGTCAGCTGCATTCATGGCGTATAGGTGAGGGGGCAGTGAAAGCCTGATATTGTAGCCCTTCAGCATCACCATCAGGCCTGCTAGTGCAAAGTTTTTAGCTTCAGATTTTGACGCAGACCCCAAGCTATCACGTCTGACATCTGCATAGACAGAAACTTCCTGATCTCCATTTGCCTTGCATGAGAAAAAGCTAGATCTTAGGATTTCCTGCTGTCTATACAAGTGACATTTTGAGGAGGTAAGTGAGTGCAATAGTAGTGTGAAAGAAAACCAACATCTCCTAACACCTAAACCAGGGAAATTCCAGTTTCCTCTGTTGTGTCAGTGTGGTATGTCTCTGCCCTGCCAATTGTGTAAGAAAACCTGTAGCTGATTTTCTTGGTATTACAGTTTTGCTCGGGTCAGCTGGAACTGAGCTGACATGAGAGAGAGGCTTTGTCCGCCCCCCCACCCCACCCCACCCCACACACACACACACACACACACACACACACACACACACAAGCATACATGCAGTGCAGCGGGTCACTGATCAACAGCCATGTTTTTGACCACCTGTAAGCTGCTGACAACAAAAGACCACCCACTGACGTGAGAGTGCACACATCAGTTTGACCAAATAAGTGAATAGGCTATATTGATGAAATGCCAAAACCTCCCTGGTTGCATCCGATTTCCTTTGTTTTATACGATTATAAATTCAATATCTTTGGCTTTTGGCAAGACAAAACAAGCAATCTGAAGACATGGGCTTTTTTAAAAATCACTTTCAATTAAATGATTAATCAACTAATCAAGAAAATAATGGACAGATTAATCGATAATGAAAACAAGTATTACCTGCTGCCCTAGTGCACAATATGAGCACGATATTTAAAACCATCAATCATAATCAGAGGAGTTGATTACTGTGGGGCACCTACTGTAGCCAACAAAATAGATTTTCTTTAAGTAAACACGATCAAAAACCGAAAGAATATATTTAAATTCAATAATAATAATAATATCCCTCTGAGGTGAGCACACACACTGAACTGATTAGAGCCAAAGACATATTGCAAAACTTCTTTGTTTTCCACAGATAAGTATTTAAAGTTGTCTGAACACGTAGGAAGGGAAAAAAAAAAAAAGAGTAGGTACTTACTGATCAAAGCGGAGACGCTGTTAAGTTTGGGGTCATAAGGACATTTTCCCTTCCCAGAATCCACTTTACCAGGTTCAAGTCGGAAAATATATTCCTGTAACGGTAAAGAATTAGGAAAAACATCATAAATAACTCTCTTGTTTTCTCTTCTCATTTGGTAACAGATTTACTGTGTTGAAGGAATCTGTTTTGTGTGTGTTATTGTTTTAATGCAGCATGTACAAGGCACTTCTAGATGTTATAATAAGCAGTTTTAAATGGCAGCAGCATCAAACTAATGATGTGATCAGCTGGGAGAGACAAAATAACAATGACGAGGTGTGAGCTGCTGTGACCCTACAGGCACTGAACAACAGGCTCTCACAGCACTGCTGGATCTGCTGAGGGGAACAAAAAGCACACAAAGCCAGTTATCAGGGAGATGGAGAGGTGGAGGAAAATGCTGAGAGCAATCCAAAACTCATCCACCATGCTTCTGATATTAGTGGCTCGAACCAGAATTCATTATTCCACAGTGCAAGAGGACATCTTGAACATCTGTGTCAACACTGGGTATGTGTCTGCAGCGAGTTTTAGTCGGGCACTTCAAAGCTGGCTGATGATGCCTGACAGGTAGGAAATATGAAAGGGGAAGCAGAACAATGTCGAAGCTGTGTGCGTAACCCATTCTTGGGTGTTTTTGTTTTTAAAACAAGATAATAAGAAGATAAGAAAATATGTGTAGTGATGAAAATGCCCTCATGTCTACATGTGTTTACCCGATGAAGGTCTGAGGACTGAAACGTCATTAATAAAGTGAGTACAACTGACTGATGGTGTGTGGGATTTTTTTTGGTCCTATCACAGTTTGTGTGTCTACATATGACATCACTCTCAGCAGCCATTACAGGCTCCATTGGCATGAGAATAGTACATTTACAAAGCACTCTTGTGTCGAGTGCTACTGCAGGGAAGTATGTTCCCCACATAACAAACACATTCGTAGTGAACATTTTGACAGTAGTAGAACTCTTTTGGAGCTGAATTAATAACCCAAGATATATATATATACTATAAAAAAACATATATATATAAAAAAACAGACAAACAATATGTAATCCTCACTACTCCAGCTGAGACTGAAAAAGTACTCCAGGTGGGCACCAGACTTAAGAGCCTTTACAAAACTCCCTTCTGCCCACCTTCGCCTCCAAGGGCTCTGATGTAGTGCTGTAGTCTGCTGCCCGACTTGTTCTCCCTCCAGATTGGGGTGCCTGTAGGTAGTGGGACCCCTAAAACAGAGACATGGCACAGTGGGCCATCTCGTTACCGACATTCGATTCCAGATCAATGCTACTGTAAATTCAAAAATTGATGATGCCTGTGACATTAACAAGAAAAGAAAAAAATAGGAAAGTAGAAAAAGAAGGACCGGACTCGACGAAGATGAAAAATTCTGAAAAAAAGTAAAATAAAAAAAACATAAAAACATCAAATTGAAGGTCAAAGTGGAGTGAAGAGAACCAGAGAGCCTGGTGGGTGACATCCATCATTTAGTAGCCATATTAGATTAGACTCAGTGTCATGCAAACACAGCTGCAAACTCCATGCATAAACCATGCAGCTCCAGAGAAAGACAAGAGAAAAGGGAAGGCAACAAAATGAGACAACCAACATTTGAAAAAATGCATGACTTTCAGTGGTGTCTAATAAAGTGAAGAATGGAATATATTAAAACAAATATAGAAGAAGAATATTGAAATGGTTTAACTGAATAATGAATAATTGAATAAACTAATGGTTTTTAGTAACCTTCAACAAGCCTGACTGAAACATGCTCCTAAACTAAGTACTCTAGTTCTTCCAAAATGTGTGGGTTCTGAAACAGCATCAAAAAAGCAGTTCAAAGAAAATGTTTCCAGTAAAGGGAAAAACTTTGAGTCAACTAAGGACTAAAAATGTGTGAAGCCCTCTGTGTAACAAGTGGAAGAATTTCTGAACAACTGGTTTCTGTTTACATCTACTCTTACTGAGGAAAATCTTTACAGTGTGAAGCAACATAGCTTTTAGGCCTTAGGGGAGAAGCTGAATGACAAGAGGCTGACTGACCTTTACATTGAAATCTGAACCCTGCATTTGAACAGTGAGACTAAACAGGCCGACTGGTGAGTGTAAGTGTGTGGACTGTAGCCGGTGCCGGCAGCTGCTGCAGCTCTGCGTGGCCGTCGTGCTGGATGGAGGGAGGGATGTAGGGAGGGATGGAGGGAGGGACGGAGGGAGGGCTGAGCTACAAGGCTGATGATGGATGAGAGGCTCCATCAGTAATGATGGCCTTTCAGAGGCTCTCAGCCAGACAGAAAGATAGGCCACAGGCTCTGGTGTGTATAAACAGGTGAGGAAGGGAGGGAGGTCTACGAGGAGGGAACATTTGCTATAGATATACTGTCAACATGCTATTCCCAGCAGCAAGAGAAGATTGTTGCTGCAACAATCTCTAAGCGGTGGCATTTAGGTCCCTCCCCGACAGCAATTTTGCAATAATAATGGAGATCTGGGGAGGACTGGCCATGAGCTTTTTTTTTTTTTCTTTGAACCCTCCAGACCGTGAAACCGTGCAAATCGATGAAAACTAAGAGGCAGAAAATGATAGAAGAAAAGCAGAGTGCATGAAACTGAGGAGCAAGAGCAGAAGGAGACTCTCTGATCCGAGACTGATTGACAGATATGGTTCTTTAAGAAGTGGAGAGTAAAGGTCACAGTGTCTCCATGGCTGCCTGGCTGTGTCTTTGGTTACCTGTGACCTGCGTCCTCGGTCCACATAGGTGCAGATGGGGTTGTACGCCCCTGTCCCACACACATACAGGTGGGTCCGGTTCCATGGCTCAATCAGACGGATGAAGTTTCCACATTCCCCCTGAGGGAGGGCAAAACAAAACCCGGCAGGATTAGAGATTTAGGTTGAAAAAAAAAAAAAGAAAAAAAAGAAAAAAAAGACTGAACATAAAACTGCAATGGAAAAAATGGTTACATAACACATAATGCCCCACTGATGGTTAATAACCCCTCTGCCTGGCTTAAAACCATCACATCTATCATTTCCACTGTTGGCTGGCTTGTGTTTGGCAGCTCTGTTCTCTGGCTCAGTGTGTCGGCTTGGCCCAGGCTTCACATCAGACCACACTGTCGGAGAGAAAATGTTTCCAAACACCATATAACTGTGTGGCAGAAACCAAGAAAAGCAGTGCATCTGAGCTGTCAAGTGTGTTTGAGGGTAAACCCAATTCAATGTTCTGTCAGACCTGACAACTGAAAAACATTCTGGTTAGACCAAAAGAAACTGCTGAGTGAAAATGTTGGTTTTTGGAGATTTTAAAATCCAATTAGGGTTTTTTTTTTTTTTCTTTTTAGAAAAATACAAAGACGTTGATGTGAAAATCTCAATATTGATGGAGTTTATGTAGAATTTTAATTATTCAAGTGGTAAGAATTTAGGCAGGCACAACACTTCTCTTTTTGGAGTGAAGACAAAGAGGTGCTGCTGGTGAAAGCGGCTCTGTGCTTTCGAGGTCTGCAGCTTTCTAATCTCTATTTGTCTAACCAGCTGTCCGCCTTCCTGGTCTCAATCCACCCAAATCAAAACTCCAAACTACAGAAATGTACAGGCTTATGATATCTGTTCAGATTTGTCCGTCATGTCGGCTGTTAGTGACAGCTGGCGAAAAAGAAAGGATGTACCAAGCATAAAAAAAGATTGTGTGCAGGATGGGGGATTTTGGCAGATCTTAGCAACACGCCAGATGCACAAGTCAGAGGTTTCAGAGGATGTGTTTTTGTGTGTGTGTGTGTGTGTTTACGCAAGTGGGCCTGCGTGTATTATTCGCGCACAGTTGTGCTCCCCCACAGAGAGCACAGTGGGGATGATTGCCTTTGACCTCCTGCCTGAACCGACATCCCCTCTGAATTGCTTTTGAATTGTCATCATCTGTCATTCCCTAAAGAGCGGCCCGGACTGCCAAGATGTCTCACAGTGGCCAATTTTATTTCTTATTTTAGTGATGAAATTTCAAACCCACCTCTGACACACACACACACACACACACACACAAACACACACGCACACACAATTACACAGAGGCTCATACATGCACACGTGAACATACAGAGGCCAATACGATGTAGCCAGAGGCGGTGAGAGGCGCGGGTCACCAAGCACGCATAAATGAACATTCCAGTTGGATAAACAGCAGCCAGCGCTCTCGACCAGCAGGGGAGAGCAGGGTTATTAGCCAGAGCCTCATCACTCTGTCGGTGCTCACCACTTCTGGCAGCGCTCACCCCTAACATGGATGAGATGAGTGTGTATGTGTGTGTGTTTTCGGGGAGAGGAGTGGAGGAGAGGGGGGGTAGGCGGGGAGGTGGGGGGGCTCCAAATGTGTGAACAAAATCAAAAGAGAAGGATCTGTTTTTTTTTTAATATGAATTTCAATGATGAGTTTCCATCTCCGCCTTGTGGGGGCTGCGCTGGCGGTGGCTGTGCTCGAATGTCTGAATCGTATTAACACTTCAGACAGGCCTGTAGCTTCCGCTGGTTAATTCATTTTGTCTGCTTGTCAGGACAACAAAGAGTAAAATAATTATTGTGCAAAAAGAAAATAAGATAAAAACAAAAAAGAAATGAAAAGAAATATCTCTAATATGTATGAGATATGTAGGTTAGTGGACTACTTTATGGTGAAGACGACTGCTCGCTCAAGCTGCTGCTGGAGCTTAATTGGCGGCAGCTGTATGCAATCAGCAATCAAGGATGCAGAGACAGTGAGTGAGAGCTTCACAGCTCGTCACACGCTGCAAGGTGCTTTCAAATGTCCTTCAGTGACCCCAGTGCCACATTCAAATCTGAAGTGTCCCCCAAAAAAGACGCAATGAAAACACATTGGGGGGATTTTCGCACAAGGGTGTCACCACATCAAATGATGTTTAAATGTGCAGCAGGTCACAAAGGACGCAGGTTGTAATATTTACTGCGACATTACAGGCGTCCTGCTTTGTCTTGATGATGAATTGCTTGAATGGCTTGTATGAAAACATTCAACTATGCAACAGCATGATTACTTTTAACACAATTAATGAGTCCTTTATTTTTTTGACCAGTTGATTGATTGTTCAGTTCATCCAACAGTCAAAAACCCAAATTTAATCAATTCACAATGATATAAAACAGAGACAAACAGTAAGCACAATATATTTGACTATATTTGAAAAGCAGGAACCAGGAAACATTTTTTCTTAATAAGCAAAAACTCTTGGTAATTAATTTTCTTTCAAGTGACTAATGATTTTATAAAATAACTGTTTCATCACATCTTTTAATTTGATATCACTTTATTTGGATACTTACATTGGTGTCTTTCCCTGACAAAACACACTCAGTCTTCCTCTGGGGGGCAACGGGCCAGTGGATCTGACAGAGAAAAGTCAACATGCTGGTTAGCTGTAAACTCGTGTTGAGCTCATCCAGTTTACTGTTTGCGTGGGACATTTCTTACTATGAGTGGCTCCTTGTTGATGTCGTGCAGATCCAGAGAGAGGATATAGTCTTTGCTGCCCACATACATGCGGTCGTGGTCCTCGTCCATGCGAAGGATACGATAATCGGTCGAGTTCAGCAGAAAGGAGAAGTGGTGAGCTGTGCCGGTAGACTTTAACTCTGAAAAAAGGAGCAAGAAGAGTGGAAAATAAATGCTTGTGTTTGGGCTGTGGCTGTAAGACTGTAGTAGAAAAACATAAAGTCAAATTGGGAAACAGAATCCACAGACATGGTCACAGGAGATGTGTGTAGGCTGCTCATTTCTGGCACAGAGATGCCCTTTGGTTTGCCAAAGTTCCTCCATTCTTTCTTTACTAGAGGTGATCTCACCATTTATCTTAACCAGACACAGAAACGCACATACATGCATGTACGTACGCACACGCTATGCTACGCACGCTATGCTAATGTTGATGGCATGATAGTATGCTAATGAGCAACAAACCTACTATCAGACTCTCTGAAATTAATTTACAGAAGCCGTTTGTTCTCTTTTTCCTCTCAGTATTACTGTTACATCCTGCCATTACAGGGTTATGGCCACACAAAATCTGGTTATGACAAAAGCAAGGAGGCAAACAGGGAATCCAACCCTGTCTCCTAAATTACATTTACACACAACTGAACTGCAAAAGCAAATATGTTTTGGATGAAATGTAATCACTGTCTGGATTATGTTCAGAGGTAATGTATTTTTTGAATGAATAAAGCCACGCTACATTTATTAATGGCAGTGGAGTTGCCAGGAGTTGGCTGGGGTGGATGGTGGGAGTACACAGGACATGAATGTCACACCAGAGACCAGGGTTTCACATCCAGAATCCCGTCTGCGTTTTAGGTTTAGGCAACAAAAGTGCTATGGTTAATGGTGTTTTTTGTGAAATAGAAGTAAACACATTATGTTTTAAGTCACTGAACTTTTTCTGTATTAAACAAGACCACAATCTTTCCCTAACCTTAACCAAGTGTGGTTAGTTCCTGAACATAAGCATAAAACAGTGTGGTAATACTGTAGTCACTACTTCGGGACGGACTATTTTAATTAGGTTGTAACTGATGTTCAATATCTATATATTTGCAAATGATCAAATATGTAAATTAACAACATATTCTCATTACGTTCATACAAATCATAATGTGTTCACAATTATGTTTCCTATGAGATGTATTTGTCACTCTATGTGACCATTCATTTCGGCCGGTGCTGGTTTTTCAGTATTGGACCCATCTATGCTGGACTGCTACCGGTATCATGAGTTGCAGTCATATAACATGGCTTCTATTACAAAAGGTCATAAAGCAGATAATGTTCAGTCCGATCCTGGGTCTCATTCACCTTTTTTCCAATTCTGTCGAGCCATGAAAGAGATGATAGCCTTCACTATAATCTCTTCTTGTGAAGCGGAAAGGATGCCGACCGCTCCCAGGCTTAGTCTCACATCATATCATACATAACATTCCCACATTGTTTTCCTCTGTATCACTGTTAAAACTGTTGTGAAATAAAACTGCTCTCAAATGACTCACATACTGCTCAGGGCAAATCACTGGTGTGTGAGTTTAAGTTACACTCGGGGTGTGAGGGGAGATAAGTGGAGATCTGGTGTACGGAAAGCAGCTTTTTCTCCCGGTCCTTCCATTACCTCCCGAGCTGTTAGAGAATCTGATAGGAGGTCTCTCTCTTTCTCTTGCTCTCTTTCAATCTGCACTTGGGAAAGTGGATCTTGAGGAAGTTAAGCCTGCAGTTGTGCTATTCTATTTGCAGAGAAAACTAGAGTACCAGATAGAGGGACCTATTCCTGTTCCACTTCAATTGGGACCAGACAAACATCCCTGCTGTTCTCTTTAACCAAGTCCGAGAGTCACCGATAATGAAAACGACTCCCTCCAACAGCTACAACAGCTTGCCTTGACCGGGAGGAAGCAGAATTTGTTACTTTACTTAGAATAAAAGACAGCGTGATGTTTTCCACCTGCACAGGACATGTTGAAATACTGACATGAATCCTCTTCCAGAAAGCTTTTCAGCTGCTGGTGTGCTGAGCTGAGCTCCTTCAGGAGCTGTGAAATGCTGCCGTCACGGTGCAGCATCATGGCACGCAGTAGGGTGGATAAGGTAGTAAACAGGAATAGACATGGCTGTCACCCGTGTAATTCTCATGAGTTCCCTCCAGACACATATTCTGTAATGCTTATTCCCACTCTCATGGACAGAAATATATAGTGAGTCATATTGTGGTGATATGACCATACTGTCATATTATTGGGTATTGTCTTACAAACTTTTGTTCTGTTTTATCAAAATTAATGATTCCAAGAAAACTTACAAAAATTGGTTACTGAATTTTGTGTTTTACATATGTGAAGATCAATTCATAATCTGTTAGATTTTCATAAATCAAATCCCATTTTGCATACTATTTATGGTTGTAGAAATAATATCCAAATTCTGTAATTACTTCTCTTTATAGTAGCATTAATTCATGGAGGTGCTGTCCTCCATTCCTGTTTCGATTTTTAATTGCCTGCCTATATGAGAGGGATTCACAGGAAATGATGCAGTATGTAATCCAGCATTAATGTTTGCGGTTTTATCTATTTCATATCAGCCTCACTGTTTCCTAAAGTAGAATCAGAGCTGCATTAAGTTACTGCCACTTCAAACTGAACATTTTCTACTGTTGCTGCTTTACATGGCATTCAACTTGCGAAACACTTTTATTGTGAAGTGGTTCACAGGAAATGCAGTGTAGTTCAGATTTTTTCTTTTAGCCAGTGGAACGGTTTGACATATTATAGGAAGTAATGGAACCAGGAGGAGCAGCCACAGTGAGCTGATGAACAGCTGCACACACCAGGCTGCACACTTCCAACTCCGCAGCAAGGTAACTGACTTTACTACGCCCTGCTGTTTGTGGAAAGAGACTTGTGCCATGTGCAGCGTGAAATCAGATCACGGGTGTGTTTATTTTTGACTGACTTCTATATTAAAACAAGGTGAGTTTGTTTAGCTGCACTGTTAACAGATAAACCAGGTGCTTTGCTGTTGTGTTTGTGAAAAAGTAGCTGTTTGCTTCTGTATTAAACTGTAAATGACATTACCGTGGGAACCACGGATGTTGCTGAACCAACCAGGACCGAAAATTTAGGCATTATAACCTAAATTGATAATAATTGGAATCATATCAGAACTGATTTATGTGCTAGTACAGTTAAGAGAGGACACAGGTGCAGATGTTGACAGCAACCTGAGAATGAGCCCCTCCAGACAGCCCATGTTAAGCATCTGCACTCGTGGTGCAAACACAGTACACACAGACACACACAAATAGAGAACATCCTAAAACAGTACATCTCCGCTCATTCTCCATAAACATCCCGTCTCATTTTCCATCCTTGTCTGCTTGTCAACTATACACTCGGCCCTCTAGCTGCTCTGGCAGGACCAGCAGTCGAACGACACAGGAGCTTCAGGGACAGTTACCAGCTGACATCCCACATTTATCACCCCTGCACTCAGATTCACACTCGGGGGGCATCTGAGTGGGAGCACGCTGGAGGTGACTGGCTGTCACAAGTCTGACAGTGGTTAGGTCACCGCAAAGTTCAACGAGAGTGGAGAGACAGATGGACGAGACAGACTGGACGGACTAGACAGGCTGATAACCTACTACATTACAAATAAACATTCATCAAAACACATTATCAGTTAACAGCTTCCATGTTTGACAGCCTGCCATCTTTCTCTCTCTCTTCTAATCTTTCATTCAGGATCATTGGATCAATATCTACCAGTTTTGAGGCAGACCTAATTTTGTCCTTAAAAAAAAAAGAAAAAAAAGACCCTTCTGATCTCGCTAAGGTCACATGGATCATGAAAATGAAAACCAGCATGACACAAGGACCAAAGGATAGTCAGCTGCAGTAGTAAAGATAATTTTCAGTGTGAGCTCATAAAGAAATTACTGGCAGTTAACAAAATACACAAATGAAACGCACCATAAGGTGCTAAATTATATGAAAATAAACTGTGTGAAACACTTTCGAAATGGAAGAATTATCTTTGTACAGAAAATTCACAGGCTGTAAATTATATCCAATTGCGGTTTGGACAACTTCTAATTATTAAACACCCACTTCAAACACTGCTCTGTCTTAAGTTTTCCAAAGCTAAATGTCAGTAGGAGACCACTGACAAATAATGGAAAAAATGTTTGACTGTGTTTGATGAAAATTATTTGAAAAAAGAAGAAAAGAAAAAAAAGCTTTTCATGGAGGTCTGCATGTTTCTGATAACTGATGTAAGCAGCAAGGCTTAGCCTCCTCACAGCACCCCTTTTTGTACGCAGCCCCGTTCTTACACTGCATAAAACTGTAGAAGATCATAATGTATGGAACATAATGGTGAGAATGAGATAGGGTTCAAGTGCCAACCAGGACTGCTTGTCATTTACAAGAATTTCTCAACATCTACAGCACATGGGACTCATTCCAAAGCACATTTAAAGCCTATATGAAGATTACAAGTCCCCTCAGCTAAAATACAATGACTCTATCAAAGCTATACAGTACATTAACTCTATTCATCTTGCCATTTTAATCTGTGAAAATGAAGTGGCAATCTTGCACTCAGGAGAAATATTACATCTTTGCGAGACGGGACACGCTAAAACACATTTTCTTTGAAATAATGCCTGTGGCGTGGTGAGATAAGGAGTAAAGTATGATAACAGTCCACCTCAAAGCACTCATAAGCTCTATTGTCAGCACAAATTCATCTGCTCAGAAGCATTCCTGTGTGTTGCAGCTCAGCCATAATTGCCCGTGCCTCTGAAGCCAAAAAAATGTTACAAAACAATACACAGCCTTGACATCGTGTTAAATGGTTGAATTTACAACCAGCTGGTAAATTCAGCAATGATAGGGCACAAGTGTGTGTCTTTAAAGATCACAGGGTCTGGTGTATATCACCGAGTTTCCCGGCAAGGTCTTCGTAATCACTACCAGACACAGAGGCAGACAGAGCTAAATCATCTTTTTCTCTCTCTCTAGTGAGTGTGTGGAATTGTCTCTAGTTTGTTGAAGACCTTCTGTGTTGGATAAAACCCAATCTCTTCCTA